TGGAAAATGCGTTGTCCTGCAGTGCTGTTTCCTTTAGCCTGCAGTTTGCTAGGTTTCCTGAAAAAGCAAAAAAAGGAGAGAGAAACGTTAGATGTCTATATTGTGGATAAATCTAGCAAGCAGAAACACATGAGAGGTGCAAGATGCAAGAGCATCACTAGACATCAAATCCATGAGTAGTGCTATAAAAGCACCACTGTTGATGAGGTGCAAAGCTTCATCACATCCTTAACCTCTATCTGTCACAATCTCATTTCGTTACATGACCCCCTAAAACTAGCACATTCAAGATGGAACAAAACACATCCTTGCCTCCATAGGTTTCATGGAGATGGAAGCAAGAACTGATAGCCTAGAAGGAATACAGAGAGACTATCTCAGCAGCCAAGGATCAGGTTAGAAGAGCTAAAGCCCTGATAGAACTAAACCTTGCCAGGGGTATCAAGGGCACCATGAAAACTTTCTATAGGTACATTAGTGATAGACTAGGGAAAACATGTACCCTCTCCAGAAGGAAACAGGAGGCCTGGTTACCCAGGACAATGAGAAGGCTGAGGTACTCAACAACTTTTCCCCCTCAGTCTTCACCAACAACTGCTCCAGCCATACCAACCAAGTCACAGAAGACAAATGCAGGGACTGAGAGAATGAAGAACTGCCCCCTGTACTAGAAGATCAGAGGGATTTTTTACAAGGGCATGTAGTGATAGGACAAAGGGAAGGACTTCAAACTGAAAGAGGGTAGGTTTAGATTAGATAAATGGAAGAAATTCTTCAATATGAGTAGTGAAGAACCAGATCAGGTTGCCCAGAGAAGTTGTGGCTGCCTCCTCCTTGGAAGTGTTCATGACCAAGTTGCATGGGGCTTTGAACAGCCTGGTCTAGTGGAAGGAATCCCTGTCCATGTCAGGGGAGTTGGAATCAAATGATCTTTAAGGTCTCCTCCAAGCCAAATCATTCTATAATCAGGTAGCCTTTCAAGTCTTCATACCCAACAAAATGCTATTTCCTATTCTCAAACCAATTTTGCCCAGATTTAAAGGGCTATTTGTAGTCAAGCCTCAAAATAAAAGAAAAGAAAGTTTTTCAGAATTCTTGAACCACAAAGCAAACTAGATTTTGGGTTTGGTACTGTTGTTTTAGATATTCAGGAAATTGGAATCCTTATAAGGGATTTCAGCTTTAGCAGCACTATCCACTAAATTACAGTTTACTGTCAGGATTGAGATAAAAAAAATTAAAATTTAACAGCAAGGATTGACGCAGCCCACAAAAACCAGGACACATGCCAGCAGAAACACCACAGAGCCTACACAATCAGTATCTGCTCATTCAGAACACAGATTACCTAAAGGAGTGAGAATGGAAAAAACAGAGCCAAGCTCACCAAGGCAGCTGTCTGCTAAGATAGTCACCTCTTTTGGGGATGTGATGTGCTCCCCCTGCTTACCATGCCACCACCTCAGCTGTCACTTCTTCCTCAGCTCCCCCTCCTCTGCCTTCCTCTTCAGATGGCTGTCATTTCCCTCCATGCCAATAATCATACAGATCTGGCTGCCTTTACACACTTCTACTACTAACCTTTCTAACGCACATGAAAATCAACCAGCAAACCTGAGCAGAGCTTTTTCCTTGCGCTGCAGAAACAGCCAGATTTTCACATCTTTTCCTCACCCACATCTCAAGGAAAGTCCCACCCACTCATCTATTTTCCTCCTTCCTCTACTTTTCCTCACTGCAACAGTGTTGCAGTCCCCAGGGCATAAATTCTCATTCTCCTCCTTCGTAAAGCATCAGTTTTATAAACTCATAAATTTCTGTGTGTTAAGGACCACAGACCTAACGATTTCCTTGGTATTTTAGTCATTTCACAGTACATATCCAAGATGTGCTACAAATGACTGGGTGAAACTCTGCTCCAGCTTGGCCTGTCTGTGGAAGGTGTGTGACTGCTCCCCACACAGCTGGGGAATTTCACAGCAACTTATTAATATTAGGAATCTACATGATCTCCCTCCAGCATCTTCCAGAACCAGACTCTTCACACCACAAAAACCCCACAAAGCTGCCTCTGTGGGTTCATCTACTCAAGCTATTTCTGCTTCTCTCCACAACTCCTTGCCTTCTGTGTCACACAGCCTCTCTTTCAAGCATAGAAAGATCCATCATTAATATTCACAGTTTTTAAAGTCTATTGGAACCTGAACTCTTGATCTGGTTTGCAGAATTTTTGAACGTGCTGGACACATCAGTTATCTCAGTTATGTCAATTAATCAGCACAGCAATTTGTCATTTCATTATCCCTACATGACGTGGTAAACAAGGCACCATCTCGGGGGTCACCAGAGCTGAAGTTGCTGTTATACAATCACCTTCCCTCCAGCTTACTCACTGCCAGAAGCTCTAAGGGTGCTCTTGCAGCTGGAATTCATTGAGGTAAAGAACCTAGCTGCAAGTGGGTGGTATCCAAGATACACTGCCACTCACTCAACAGAATGCAGATGTGAATTAAAACAGTATCTGTGCTAAGAACTGCCGGGTAAAAATCGGGAAATAAATTCTGAAAAGTGGCAATGTAAGGTGCCATCACAGCTAGGCTGGAAAAAAAGGTGCTGAATTATCCAACAGGTCTTAGTAATCTTGATCCAAGGACAGAGCAAGTGATGGTCTCCTGCCGCCTGCAGGGAAAATGGGGATTTGAAAGCTGCACCTTCGTTTGACTCAAGGAGAGGTACTGGCATAATCAGGGTAGACAGCGTGGAATCATAAAACAAAGTGCATTAGTGCCATTGCTGCCTCAGGTCAGCAAGGAAAGGAATTCAGTAATGGGAATATATTTAGTTTGTGTTACTGCTGCTGTTGAGGCCAGAGGAACACAGTGCAGAGCTCCAGAAGGAAGAAAAGTGTAACACACACAAAAGGAACTGTGACACAGTAATGGCACATTCATGTGGCTACAGCTACAAAACCAGCTAGGGACATGATACACAGAACAGATGTACTGAGTTCCTAGGAAATCTGCTGTGCCTCTTGATTTTATTTGGTGCACTGATAAATTGCCATTCTTCTCTTAACAAGAAACGTTTAATTTTAAAGCCTTTTTTCAGGTTAATACTACCTCATCCAATCAAGATAAGAGAACCATTTATCTCTGTGCAGAATCTCTCTCAATCCATGTGCACAAATGTCTACCACAAATGGCACATCTGTCTCATGCCAGGCACAGAGGACTACTCTCTAGTGAAAGAGACTGTATTTTCTTACACTAAGTAAAGCAGGCACAAACCAACAAACAGGAATGCCCATGAGAACCTAACTTTAAAATACATTCACAGAAAACTGAAAAGTCAGCACAAAAAGCACTAAGCAGGATCCAGTATGAGCTGTCAAGGACAAAAGCTGCATCAATGGTCAGTGTCTACACAAAACAGTCATTCTCTTATTAAGGATGGTGTTTGCCATATGCATTTACATACAAGCTATATAAAACAGTAACAACAGGAAAACAAACAAACAAACAAGAGTCTTCTGTCAACCGCTTAAGTCTAAGGCCTTTTCATTGCAAATGAGCCACCAGCAGCGCTGTCAGCTCCTCCTGTCCTCCTCAAACACAGCAAGCCAGCCAGATGGCAACTTTCAAGCCAGTCTCATCCTGACACCAAATCTGCTTCCTGAGCCAGGGCAAAATTCAGCCACTTGCCATGCTGCACATCAGTGGGGAAAGCAGATCACCCCCTTCTTCCTCAATTATTTCTCTTCCCAAACCAGTGAGGGTCACTTGAGCAGCATCATGTGAGCTCTACCAACTGCATTTCTTCAACCAACAGTTAAGCTAGGTATGATCACTCAGGTGGAAAGCTCAGCTGTGGTTTTCCTAATAAATATAGTTTTTCTTTCAGTCTCGTTTTCTTTCTCATTGTCAGAGCATCAGTCGCAGTTCTACAGAGGTCACCACTCCTGAGAAAAAAAAATCCTGAGTGATTCCTAATTGGCTGCTTTTTCTGACCAGCACACCAGATAAAACCGATTGTATTTGGAAGATACCAACAGCTACAAGATCTCACTAATCCCAGTAGCTTTCATGACAAAGGCCTTTCTTTCTCTCTTCCCTGAACAGGGCACAAGAAACCAAGTGCCCCAGACCAGTCCGAGAACTTGGAGAACATTTCCATTCGTGTGCAGAAAAGACATTTTGCACATTACACCATTATAGCTGCACAAAGTACAGCTAAAATTATGCTCATTCGCTAAGACTTCTGATCACAAATACAGGTAAGATCTAAAGAAAATGACAACCCAAACTGCTTTTTATTAAGAAGCTCATGAGCTGGAACGAGACAACACCACTACTATATTAACTCTTACAAAACCAAAACAGTCCAGCAAGCTAGGTGGGTGGGCTGAAGACCTCCGTACCGTCCTGGCTCTGCTGAACAGAGAACACGAGGGGTAGGAGGGCGATTGGTGTGCTGTGGTTCCCCGTCCAGCCCGCAGCAGCGGCGGGCTCGGCGGGGCCACCGATCCCCACGGCCGCTCCACGGGCGCCGGCTCTCCCGCACCTACCGGCGTGCCCCGGCACCCGCAGCGCCGCGCAGCCGGCCGGGCTAAGCCGAAGCGCGGAGCCGCCGGGCAGCCAGAGCCGGCCCTTCCCGCTCGCCGGAAGTCCCGGCCCTGCCCGGCCCCGCCGCGTCCCTCCCGGAGCCATCCCGCGCCGGGACCCCGCCGCGGCTGTACCAGGCCGACCGCGGGTGCTCCGGGCCGGCAGCGGGGCCGTCGCCCCGGGGGACGCCCGTCACGGAGGGCGGCAGGGCTGCGGCTGCAGCTCCCCGCCCCGGGGGCCCGTTCTCCGCGCCGGGAGCCGAGGCGGCGGGGAGGGAACGCGACACCGCTGTTACCTGCTCTCCGACGGCGGCCGCGAGCCCGCTGTCGCCGCCCCGCGCCGCCGCTGCCCGGCGCTGGCAGCCGGAGGTGACGCGCTCCGGGGCGGGGCCGGTGACGCACCAGGGACGCGGCGGCGGCGGGACCGGCAGGGTCAGCATGGTGAGCCGGGAGCGGGGTCCGGCTGGGATCGGGGTCGGGCTGGGATCGCGTCTCTCCTTAGCTGATCGCGGCTGTGTGTCCGTGTCCTTGCAGGGGAAGCAGAAGAAGGCGCGGAAGTACGCGGTCATGAAGCGCATGATCAGCCTCCGGGACGAGCGCCTGTGAGTGCGGCTGCGGCTGGGCCCGGGCCCGGAGCGCCCTCGTGTCCCGCTCGGGAGGCGCGGGAGGAGCTCCCGGCCCAGGTCCCTCGGCCGCCGGTAGCTCTTCCCTATCGCTGTACCCCGGTAATGCCTGCGTTTCTTTGCAGTAAAGAGAAGGACCGCGTAAAAGCCCCTGTGAAGAAGAAGGAGGACCCGAGTGCCATCAAAGAGCGGGAGGTGTAAGTGCTGCCGAGGCACTGGGGAGGGAGAGGAAGAAGGAGGGAGGGCCGGCCACTCTGCAGGCTGGAGCTGAGGGTGTTTCTGAGCGATACTGTCAGAAGAAAAAGTGGTGCCCCAAACCGAAGGATTGTGCTTAGGAGGCAGCAGGAGGCCTGATGGGTTTTTCTGCTCATTACCTTTCTTCCATTCTATGCAAGTTGGAGGATTGGATGTGATGTTAAGTGCAATTAACTGATTTGAATTCTTTGTCTTCCTGGCAGGCCCCAGCATCCCTCTTGCTTGTTCTTCCAATATAATACACAGCTGGGCCCCCCTTACCACATCCTGGTTGACACTAACTTCATCAACTTCTCCATCAAGGCCAAACTGGACCTAGTGCAGTCGATGATGGACTGTCTCTATGCCAAGTGTGAGTTTCTGCACCGCTCACAGCTTCTTCAGACCACACAGTTCCAGTCTGCTCGTAATGTGCTTTGTCAGCCTCATGCCCCTGACTGAGAATAACAGAAATCTTGCAGAAAGAATATGTGCTATAGTCATGGAGCTGTGGTAACCCTGGCACTGCCTCTGGTTTCAGTCAAGTAACAGTTTTAAAATGCTAATCTCAGCAAAGGTAGAAGTTAGCTTAAAAATCTAAAATTACCATGGCATGGTTAAACTTGGTGGCTCTACATTTTATCACCTTGCAACATTATCAGTTGTCCCTGTAAGTAATACACTGTAGAGTTCCATGATGTTTCTAGGGCATGTGGGGCAGTACGTAGGGTTGTGGGAATAAATACTGCTTTGTTTTAATGCGGGCTTTTTTTGCATTTAGGTATTCCATGTATCACAGATTGTGTAATGGGTGAAATTGAAAAGTTAGGACAGAAGTACCGTGTGGCATTAAGGTAGGTGCAGGGTGTTCTTCTCTGTTTCTAGAATTTAATGCTCTAATATAAATAAATGAAAAACATATGGTGTGACTGGTGCTCCTGCACTAGAGGGTGGTTAGGCTGTTGCAGGGTCCTGAACTTGGTACTAAGAAACACTTAACTTATAATAACTAGACAAATTGCATTCTTTTTTTTGCAGGTCATTTCACTTGACCTTTGTCTACCATTTACTCCATCCCTTCATCCCTTATTTTGAGAACAGTGTTCTGTATATCACAGAAAGGGGTGTTCTTGTTCCTCCATGCTGTGCTACTGTACTCTGGTCTGATTGCTGAGCTGCTGGTTTTTATGTCCCCACAGAATTGCCAAGGACCCTCGCTTTGAACGCTTGCCATGTATGCACAAAGGAACCTACGCCGACGACTGCTTGGTGCAGAGGGTCACTCAGGTATTCCCCTCCTGACGTTTTCTGTACTGTGCTAACAAACTAAAAATTCCTGAACCCTCCTAATTACTGACTGACTTACATTTCCCACAGAGTAACTATAAAATCTCACCAAGGGGCATTTTTAGTTCTAACACAACTTTATTTGGTGCAAGGTATTATCTTCCCTGAGCATTCTTGTTGTATAGGAGAGCATCAGGAGGCAGTTAGGATGGGAAAGCTGTCAGCTTGAAAGGCTGGACAAGTTTCAGAGATTTCTTGAGTCTATTTTGGTGAGCAGAGGGATGTTATTAGTCTGCTGTGGAATTCTGTACAAGTCCTGGTAATGCCTTGCTAAGGACTCTCAGCCTCCTTCAGTGTTCAGTGAGCTCACTGAATAGGAATGTTTGGTCAGCCATGACTCCTTTCTGGGGTTCACTGGTGTTGAATCTGACTTGCCTTCTTCTGGTTTTTTGCAGCACAAATGTTACATTGTGGCCACAGTGGATAAAGAGCTCAAGCGGAGAATACGAAAAATCCCTGGAGTGCCCATAATGTATATTTCCAGGCACAGGTAAGGGCCCCCTGACAGGGAGAAATCCTGCCCAGTGCAGTCACTGTCTGACAGGGACTTTGTCACCACGTACTTCTCTCCTTCACTGTCTATAGTGCAGGCTGCAGTGAAGGCCTGGTGTTTACAGAGAAGTTGAAGTACAGCTACTGCTGGGAAGAGGCTGGTCACAGACCCATTTTTATTGCAGTCTACATGTTCACTTGTCTTTATCTGAAGAAGTGGTTTCCTTAAAGCCAGTGTTTCCATAGATCAGTTTTGCTCACCAGCAGCAGCAGGACTACCAGGCAAATGCATTGTACAGGTTCTTGAAGAAAAGAACCATTCCTGTTCCATATTTTATTTGGTAGCTTTGTGTACCCTCAGCTAAGAGACTGAATTTGCTTCTTAACTAAAAACCAAACCAATTCAGAAGGGTACTAGTGCAGCATGTTGGAAATTAGGAGCTTGATTGCTATAGATATGTAAAGTTTTAACTGATCTGTAATTAGAATGTGGCTCAAAAGATTTTTCTCCCAAAACACCTTTTCTCCTTATTCACTGTGGCCATGAACTTTTGGAAAATGCTGCCAAGGATGGTGATGGAGTCACCATCCCTAGGGGTGTTCAAGAAATAACTGTACATGGCACTTAGTGCCATGGTCTAATTCTCAAGGTGATATTCTGCCAAAGGCTGGACTCAGTGATCTTGGAGGTCTTTTCCAATCTAAATGATTCTGTGAATTATAAGTTGAGTGTCTAAAAATTTATTTTCTGTTGTGATCTGCTCTTAAATCCTAAATCAGATCTTACAAAACTGCAGGGTTTTTCCTTTCTCTGGAGATGGTGAGTTTTTGAGATGTCTGATGCTGAGTTTAAGGTGAAGAATAACAGCAACATTATGAAGACTTTTTACTTTCACAAGTAATATTTTTCTTGCTGGGGATCTGAGCTGCAGATAGAAATGCAAAGATTGACTATTCAGTTTACCTGTAAGCCTGTAGCTGCATGGGTGTCACAAATGAATGCTTTAGGCAACTTGAAGAATCACTGTCAAAGGTACACTAGCAAAAGCAGCTTTTAATATAAGATTGTAGCACTGTGACTTTAACAGAGTTTAATGACAAGGTTCATTCTATTACTGATGAAACATACAGAGGAAAATTGACTTAAAATCACTTTAGAATGTTGTGCATGGAGACCAGAAGTGCAAAGGACGACCCTCCCAGTCATTTGGATTGCTTTCCAAACTCCTGATGGAGTCCAGGTGCAGCTGCATCCAATCTTAGTCCCAGACTTGGTCAACAGTCTCTGTCTTAATTAGATTTTGAAAGCACTTGATCATTGACTAATTTAACATTTATAAAGTGATTCAGTAGGGTTTACTACAAGTATAACAGTGACTTAATTATATTTTCAGGAAGTAGCATTCATAATATACTCAGTAAAAAGTATTTCAGCTAATTCACATTCTTGCACACTGACATAGACATATAGGTAAATGTATAAAGGTACCAGTTAAAAATTCCTCCCAGCTTCAGTGAAAAACATGGAATGTCTCTGCATTTCTCAACTGGCAGAGCTTGAGTGATGATCCTTCAGCCATCTCAGCCTTGAGACCTTGAGGCTTCCTGCTCAGAGAGAGGTGCTGGTGCAGCCCATAGCAGTCCAGGAAAGCTCTAAGGGCCTCACTTAAGACCACTGCTTATAGGGTCACAAGATGATTGCTTTTAGTCAGGCATAAATTTTACACCTTGGCCATAATCCAGATTGGTAACTACTAGAATTTCCAAAACTCTGGTAGCATTGGTACCATTCCACTCAGGCCATGACTTAGATAGGATTGTCAGAGGTTGACTGGCAATCTCATCCTTCACCATAGACCAGCAACAGGAGTTCCCAGTACAGTCAGTGCTGTTCTCTGACCTTAGTCATGCAAGGCTTCCTGGTATGCTCAAGGGATGCTTCACCAGGTAACTCATTACACAAAGGCTAAGGCCTAGCAGGGATCCCTGAGGTGGCAGTGCGGCCCTGAGGAGGAAGAGGGGGTAGATTCACCACCACAGTGGGGAGGGGAGCAATGTGGAGTAGGTTGTCTTCATAAGTTTTGCTTCTTTCTCAGGTACAATATTGAGAGGATGCCAGATGATTATGGAGCTCCCCGATTCTAACCTGTCCAGTCAAGCCATCAATGCCCGGACTGTGAGCCAGGACAAGGGTCCTTCTGATTCTACCCTCCTCCTTTCTTCTTTTGTTGGAACTCTGCTCATAGGACTGTGGATAACACCAAACCGACTTCTTAACCTTGTTTTTCTAAGAAAAAGCTATTTTGAAGAGTCTGGTTTTATTCATCCATCCTCTGCCTTGGTCTGATTACCTACAGCTGGGAGAAGCATATGGGAAAGAGAGGGCAGCAGGACCAAGAATGTGCCTAGCTCTGCATCAGGACCATTGGAAAACATGATTTCAGCATCCTGAATTAAATATTGATGATGCAACTCTGAGAATGAAACCACAAGAGATTCTAAGTTTCTTACTGCTGCACCTGGAGTATACCTGGGACAGGTATTCCTTTGGGAAGCTACCTCACACCTGTTCAGTCAAATCAGCATCTGCATTCTGCAAAAAAGACATCAGATCTGCACCAGTTGGTGGCTTTCTCTGGAAAAGCAGTCTAGATTTTATTCAGAATTGATAGGCTTTTATTCAACTGCACAGTGAATGAAGTTTGTTTAAACCTCCTCTCAGACTGCTCTTTCTGTCCTTGGTTAGCTGGCAGCCCAGTTGTTTTGCTTACATTTAGAGTGGTGCAGGGCAGGGCAGGGTTGGGTCAAGACAAGTCTTTCACTCCTGTTTGTTTGGGTCCTATGCACCTCAAAGCTTTATCACTTTTGTTATGTATCAGGGACAAGAAGGAAAGTGTCTGATGGGCAAAGGTATTAATGTGGGCTGGGAGCACAGTCGTTGTGGAGGAATAAAAACAATGGTTGCAGATAAAGAGTCTTCCAGAGACCTGCAGAATTTGCTGCAGGGAAGGAAGTGGTCTGGGAAGGAAGGAAAAGAAATTATTAAACAATATGAAGAAATGTAGAGGGGGAAAATGATTTCAAAGCCATAACTCAGCATTCTCATATCTCCTCCATTATTCCTTCATTTTTAGCAATATAATTTGCTCTTCAATCTCTGCTGTGTGGTGAGGAGAGGGTCACCAGGAGCCAACATGCCAAAGCACACTTCCTGGCCAAAATGCTGGATCTGTAGTACAGGAGAAGACTGAAAATTTATATTCTTGGTATAATTAAGAACATTTCCAAACCTTAAGAGCTTTACCCTGTAGTCCCTTACACTGGTTTGGCTGCAGAGGTGGCCACAAAGGCCAAGAGCATCCTTGCCTGTATCAGAAATAGTGTGGCCAGCAGGACTAGGGAGGAAATCCTCCCCCTGTACTTGGTGCTGGTGAGGCTGCACCTTCAGTCCTGTGTTTAGTTCTGGGTCCCTCATTACAAGACAGGACATTGATGTGCTGGAGCATGTCCAGAGAAGGTCAGTGGAGCTGGGGAAGGGCCTGGAGCACAAGTCTGATGAGAAGAAACTGAGGGAGCTGGCATTTAGTCTGGAGAAAGGAAGGCTCAGGGGAGACCTTATCACTCTACAACTACCAGAAAGGAGGGTGTAGCCAGGTGGGCATCAGTCTCTTCTCCCTGATAACAGGATGAGAGGATATGGCCTCAAGTTGTGCCATGTGAAGATTGGATATTTGGAAAAAATGCTTCACTGAAAAGGTGGTCAAGCATTGGAGCAGGTTGCCTGGGGAAGTGGTACAATCACTGGGCCTGGAAGTGCTAAAGTGTGGATGTGGTGCTCAAAGACATGGTGTAGTGGTGGATTTGGCAGTGCTGTGTTGATGGTTGGACTGAATGACTTTGGAGGTCTCCTCCAACCTTAACAACTCTATAATAGCTGAACTTAGCTGTCTGTATGCTGGACAGCATGCTGCGAAGATAATTTCCTGTCTCTGGGAAATGCTCTGACATCCTGGTAACTTCCTTGACTGCACCATACTGCAGGAAACTTGGGGAACACATCACACCTTCCTCTCGTGCTATCTCTCTGCTTGTTGCAGGCTCCCCTATTAAACATCCCTGAAATAACAGCATACTGACACTTTGAAAATTTAGTCCCTCCCAGGCTATCACAATCAAAATTAATTTTCTCCACCTCTAGCCAGGAAGAAAGTAGCCAACAATGGAGAGATTTTACAGTTAGTATATAATACATACATTTCAAAAACTATATCCTTAGTTTTGTTCTCTCAATCCAATCCATATTTCTTTAAGCTAATGATCAAGTATTGTCATGAACAATTGAAGCCCATGTTTAGTCAAGTGAGGACTGAGAAACAGTTGTAGTATTACATCTCTGTAAATTGCTTTTCAGAATAATTCTAGTTTTGAAAGACTTCTTTCAGCCAGTAGTTAACTAGAATTGTTCCAGTGCAAATTAATTCCCTTGAATTAATCTAAATGGAAGGGGACTGGAGAATAAAGAAGAAAGGAATGGACACTTAGGGTAACATTTGAAAACAGTCTTTTCGGCACAGAAGAGGTCAAAGGCATAGCAGCCTGATGAATTTGGGGAACATATACCTGCCAGCAGAATGCCTTTTGCAGGGACTTCATGAAAATATATGTCTTTAGCACAAACGGTGGGTAGGCATCAAACTAAATGTGCTCATTTAGTGAAATCTTTTATTCCTTTTACTCTGCCTTGTTTTAGTAAAAGGAGGAGGAATCTGGAATAGGTGTAAGGCAATTGCTAAAGATCTGTTAGGAGGGTTGGAGGACGAGCAGAAGAAGAAAGTATGGGCAATGAGCACACCCATTAGGAAATTTTCATTAATTGAGTATAATTGGTAAGACAAAAAACTTGGCTATTAACTCAAAGAGCCTGGTCAGAAGATAAATAAGACAGGAGAGGACCACCTGAATGATCAGGTACTTCTCCTGCAATGCCAGACAACATGTGTACCAAACAGGTTCAGAGGAAAATGTTTACTCCACACACACAGTGGCATCCCAGCGTCTGATCCAATTTACAGTGTGTCACAAGAGGAAAGATCATTGTCACAGGAAAGACTTTGGTAAACTAGAATATTTTGATGTTCCCACAAATGGAGAACTCTGTCAGTCCAAACCAGAAGAGAAATTTCTTCCTGACTCAACTCTGGCAGTTGGTTTAAACCTCACAGGAGTTAGATATCAGATGCTTGCAGTGTAATTAGAGAATTCCTCCCTGCTAACATCCTGTCTCCTGCTGTAGCCAGTTTCCATAGCTTCAGAAGACAGAGAACATACAGGAGCGCCACATAAAGAAAATCTGAATATATGCAAAGAATGGTAGAAAATAATTTCTACTCCTTTCTGGAGCCACCAGGTTTAAGATTACTACAGCCTTACCAGGTGAAGAAATTTAAGCTGCTGATCCAAGATATGACACTGGTTAATTAAGGGGTAACTAAATGTGGTATAATAGTGTTTAGAAGCAGGAGGAACATGAGCTATTTAAAAAAAATTAACCCAAACCAACATGATGACACCCATTAATGTTGCAGACTGGACAGAATAAAATAATAAAAATAACATATTCTGAATGGAAGAATCAGAGGGCATAATGTGAACTTAAGAGGGTTGCTTTTTTGGTAGATTGGGTAAAGTAGTTTATCTTGTCTAGTGGGAGTCAACCATACTGCAGCATAAACCAATTTGAATATTGAAAAAGCATCTGTCACGTTATTTGGATGTTACATTTTGGCTTCCACAATGTAGGCTGGAAAGCAATTGGCCTGAAGTGTTTAGGTACACATATTCCCTCATAAGGGAAGTAACAAGTCTCTAGACAATATTGAGTAACTACAACAAACAGCAAAAATAGTAGGAGAGACCTGCCTGCAGGAAATAACTGTTAGTAAGCTGATCACAAGAGAACTCATGTAGAGTGAAGAGATCAGGAAGATAAATTAAAGGATGTTTGCAACAGAAATTCCCTATATTGGAAGGACAGGGTTTCAAAAGCTTAGTGAGTAAACTGGCCCATAGAACTCAGGTATATAAATGCTAAGTATAGGTATATCATGAACAGTAGATGCTAAAAATACAAATGCTATCTGAAAGTGATATTCACCGCAAGAGAAATCTAAACAGACCATCCTAAACAGAAAAGGATCAATAATCACCTCTAAAAGTGATTAGAAGGGATACTAAAGAATAGAAAAGGCAGTTCTAGAAGTATTAAGATAGTTTTCTTAAAGTTTTGCATCTCAGTTGAATTTAGTAAAATATTTTCTTGCAGATTCATGGTGTATCTCCTCTGTGGATTTCCTGAAATTTAACAACAAATGAACATAAAGTTTAGCTTTTCCACCAGTGAGGATAAAGCTTTTTCTCTACCTAACAATGTGATTTTCTTGATATTTCTCCTGACTGAAAAGTCTTAGGACCTTTCTTCCACGCCTTTCTCCACTGGCCAGGGATCCTTAATTCAGCAGATATGAACTAGAGACTGAACATAACAAAAATTGCTCAGGGTTCCTGTGCTTGCAGAGGACACGGAGCGGGGGCGCCGCCGGGGTGCTGTGCTGCGGACCCGGAGTTGCCAGGCTCCACTGCCGAGCTACTGGAATTCACACACACACACCTCTGCCCTGCCACAGGCGTTCAGCACTTGCCATAGCCATTGCTAAGTGCCTGCAGAATGTATTTGTACGTTTAAATCGTGCTTCAGCGCGGGTAACCGAGGGCACCGATGCCGCCGCCCCAGGGACACCACGGCCCTCGGGAGCGCCGGGCCCGCTATACACAGCCTAGCTTGCGGAGCGCCCGGCGGCACCCTACACACATCGGAAGCCCCGGCGCCGGGCCCGCAGCGGCTCCCGTGTGTGGCCAGCTCCGTCCCGCCTCCTGCCCCGGGGAACGGGGCGGGCGCGATCTGTCTGTCTGTCTGTCGCTCCGGGCTCGCCTCACCCGCGCTGCAGGCAGCTGTCCGCCAGGCGGCGCTGCCACCCGCCCAGCGGGGCGCTCTGGCGCGGCGCTCACGCTCGACTGCCCGGCGGGGGTGGGGCCTCCCCGCGCAGGCGCCGTGCGCCGCCCGCCGCCGCGGCCTGTGTCCGCTCCGCGCTCCGCCATGTACCCGGCCTGGGGCTTGTACGGGGCGGCCGGGCACTACCCGCCGCCCCCCACCTCCATCCCGCCCCCGCCGCTGCCCATCCCTCCCCCCAGCGTGCCGCCTCCCGCCGTTCCGCCGATGCCGCTCCCCAGCTACCCGCCACCGGGGCCCGCGCCCCCCGCCGCCGCGCCGCCGCCCGCCGGTTCCTCGGGGTTCCTGAGCCTGCAGGAGCAGCACCTGGCCCAGCTGCAGCAGCTCCAGCAGATGCACCAGAAGCAGCTGCAGTCCGTACTCTTGGGTCCCCCGCCGCCGCCGGGCCCGCCCCCGCCGGGGCTGCCGCCGCCGCCGCTGCCCGGCTCCTTCACCGACTGGCAGCAGCAGCCGCCGGTGCCGCCGGTGCCGCCGCCGGTCCGCAGCTACCAGAAGCAGTACGGCCACCGTGAGCCGCCGCCGCGCAAGCCGCCCCCCGCGGCCCGGGACCGCGACGGGCAGGAGCCGCCGGGCGGGCGCGGCGACTGGGGCGAGCCGGTGCCCGCCGAGCCGGTGCCCATGGACATGGAGCTGTCCTCGCCGCCGCAGTCCCCGCAGCCCGGCGCCCAGCCCTACCTGCCCCCCGCCCAGCCCTACCTGCCGCCGCCCCAGAGCGAGCCTTACCTGCCCCCCGCCCAGCCGCCCCCCGCGCAGTCCCCGCCGCTCCAGCCCTACCTGCCCCGGGCGCAGCCCTCCCAGCCGCCCCCCTCCTTCTCTGAGCCCCCGCCCTCCTACCTGGAGCCCCCGACGGCCACCGCCTCCCAGCCCTACCTGCCGCCTCCTGCCCAGGGCTACATGGCACATGCCCAGCCCTACCTGCTCTCCTCCCAGGCCTCTCCTTCCCAGCCCGCCCTGGCCCCCTCCGTCCCTCCCCCGGTGAAGCCATCGCAGGCTCATTTCCCCCCGCCCCAGACGTCCCTGCCCCCGCCCGCCGCTGCCCCGCCGGAGGCAGCGCCAGGTGCCGCCAAGGAGGGCGGGGGCGCGGAGCAGCCGGACCCCTCCACCATGACTCCCCAGGTAAGGCCGCCCGGCTGGCAGCGGGGACTCGCCAGGGCAGCGGTGGCGAGGAGCCGCTGGGTACTGAGTGTTGCAAAGGTCCCCGAGTAAGGGCAGTTGATAAACACACCGTATTTGCATAATATTGAAAGGATTTGGTCGCAATCCGTGGAAGTGTGGCAATGGCACAGCTCAGAGAAACCTTCATAAAGGCTGATTTGTCCAGTGGTGTTGATAGGTTGGTAGGGATGTAACAAATTGTCATTTCCCGAGAAAAATTGTTTAGGGAAAAATGTAAATCCTGGTTGGCTTTAATTTTCTTGAGCGCGCTTTGGTCTCTGGAGAATGTATTCCAAAGTACAGACTGTGTGTGACCCGCCCCTAACCCCTGCTGGCTTTGTCTGGCCACTTGTGAGATGCAGCAGTCGGTTTCCCTGTTGCACATTGCAGGATGTCACTTGTCTTCAGTGATTTCTTTATTACAGTTTTTTGAAGGTGTTGAGTTGCAGTTATCTGCCTGATCAGTGTAGAATGGTGACTGTTTTAGTCTTATCACACACAGTTAAAGCTGCAAAAATGTTTCTGTTGCAGTACGTACTTGTCCTCTACTTACACTTAATCCGCATTTTGTGCTACACGTGCTTGATCTTCCAGTACAAAATTGCATAGGGCATTGGAGGGAAATGCTCTGAAATGCCTTGAAGTGAAAAATGTTATAGCTGTGTGATTTTGATGTGTACACTAGGGCCAAAATGCTGCAAAATGTTTGTGTGCTTCACTTCCTAAATGAGACCAGTTCCAGTGAGCTTGATGGGACCGTTCATCTGCACTGTCAGGGACAATCCAAGCTTGAAGTTCAGCATGCACAGCAAGGCACGAGTGTTGGGAGGCCCTCAGCTGTACACATCGTCAGGCAGATTCACTGGGGTGAATCTGGGTTTTTTGCATGGGTTTAGAATTATTTTATTGGCATCCACCTGCAAGAACAAAATTGAGCTGCATTCTTCGAAATTCCGTAATTTAAATCTATTTAAAGCTAGGTTTGCAAAAGTCCTACTGTGTCATATTGAAGTCACTGGCACTTTGAATTTGCTGATTGCTGGGATATGCCATTTTTACATTTGTACCATATAACTAATTACTGCCTGGCAAACTAATTGATCTTTTACAGTGATAACAACAAGATTTAATTTTTTAATGACAAAACCTCAAAAAGTCATGTGTAGAAAGTGGTGTTTATTTGGTATTGAGTCAGCTTGTTGACTTTTTAAATTATTGAGCTCAATGATAAAATATTGATAAAATATCTCCAGAAGAGTTGCAAATAATGCTTTATTGTGTGCACACATGGAAGCAGCAGAATACTGCTGAAATTTATGTTGTCTGGTTTATGAGTGTTTATACAAACAGCTTCTATCTTGAGTAGCTTGCTTGCTCTCATTCAAGTTCAGTGTTAATTCAAAAGGAATATGTTTTCCTAGTCATAACTTTGTTATAAAAGACTGATACAACTTTGGCTGTCTTAGGCTGTAAAATGAGACAGGATTTGGAGTAACAAGTTTTTACACTATAAGGAATAGGAAAAGCTAAGGCTTTCATGCCTTTTAGTATTCTGAAAAGCCACGTGAAGGAACTGTAATTTGTCATTTGGAGTATCCTATTAAGCTGTTGTTTAAACTGGCAATTGAAAGCAATTATTTCTGTTCCTTATCCCACAGTAACACTGGCTGCAGACAAATATATCAGTGTTTTTCTCTTAACTCAGAAGATGTTACACAATTTGCCATGAGTTGGTGTTTTATTATTTTCCTTTCCAGTCTAAGATACTGTTCTTTGCCTTGACAGTATCGTGAGCTTAGTGTAGTTTCTTCCATGGGTATAGAGTTGGATTAAATTGCTGGATTCTTGTCAAATCTGGTTAAAATAACTGTGGTATTTCCTTAATGTTCCATCTGATACTTGGGTAATGTGTGCTGTTATTTGTTTACCACATCACAGACTGGGTAAGGTTGGAAGGGAGCACAGGGGTCGTCTGGTTCAACTCCCTGCCCAAGGAGGTTCATCCCAGAGCACATGGCAAAGGGTTGTGTATTCCAAACATTTCTTGAATATCTTCAGTGAGAGACTCCACAGTCTCTCAGGGCAATGTGCTACAGTGCTCAGTCACCTGCATGTAAAAAAGTTCTTTCTCGTATTCAGGTGGAACTTCCTCTGCATCAGTTTCTGCCCATTGCCCCTTTCCTTGTTCCTTGGTACCACCAAGAGTCTGGATCCTTCCTCTAGGCACCCTCCCTTCAGATACTTCTGTACATTGACAAGGTCCCCTCTCAGTTGTCTTCTCATGGCTCAACGGTCCCAGCTCCCTCAGCCTGTTCTTATTAGAGAGAGATGCTCCGCTCTCTTGGCATCTTCATTGCCCTCCACTGGACTTCTTCCAGGAGCTCCAAGTCTTCTTGTGTTGAGGAGCCCAGAACTGGACACAGCTCTCCAGCTGTGGCCTCACTAGGGCTGAGCAGAGGAGCAGGATCACCTCCCTCAACCTGCTGGCAATGCTCTTCCTACTCCAAGGATGCATGGGTACATCTGTACCCATAAATATGCATTTATCTACATCTGTTAAAGCTACCTCAGCTTTACCACCTCACCATTTAACAGACTGCTGCTCTCTTTAAACATCCCCTTTGTTTTGTAGAGGGTGCTAAACCATTCTTTTGCAGTTTTCACCTGGAAAGGACATAGTGTCCCCCAAAACAGGTATCATGTTATGGCCTAGGGTCACCTGTATTAGCTTTGGAGTAGTCCTTTGGTGTGGACTTCACATTAATGTATTTGGTGCTATGTCCTGTGGCCAGGAGCTGATAGTGCTGGTTTCATGTTCCTGTAAAATGCAACAGGCATTGTCTCTTGGTCAGCCAGAGATGGGAAAAGGCCTCTGTTGATGCTCGTGTTTTCCTTGGGCTAAAGGATTATAATTGGACTTGAAAGATGACAGGTCCAGTTGAATGACAAGTCATTGTGAGGTCGTGAGCACTCAATAACTGAATTCTTCATCAATGAAAAATTTTCTACACTAGCACTTCTGTTCTATTACAACTAAGCTGTAAAGATCTACCTTTCTGCTTTTCTTATACTTTCCAGATAGCACAGTAATAGCTGTCACAGACTCATCTGCTGAAAATAATAGATAGTTATATTACCATAGCTCTGGAAAGCCCATGTCATGTTATGAGTTCTAGCCCTATGTCCAGTTGGTGGAACGAGGAGGAAACAAGATGGATCTATGGAGACAACAATTTTGTGGCAGTAGAACATGTGCTCACCCATCATAGCATCTAGCACCATGATGACAAATCACCTTATAGTGAGTGCCTTTTGAGATGGATAATTGAATCAGGCTTTGTATACCTGGGAAAGTATGCTCCTCCCTTGAGCTGCACTTATTTCAGCATGTTGTTGAATGTTTCTGACAGTCTCTGCTGCAGTGTGAATGCATATCTTCCACCCAAAACCATGGGACTCTTCTGAGACATATTCTTGTTAAAAAGATTCATGGCAGGAATAATTGCATGATCAATTTAAAGTCTGTGAAGCATAGTCTCTCATTTCATTGACCTCATTTCCAAGTTACAGAAGTATTTTTTTAAAAATACAGCTCCATATTTGTGTTTCCTACCAAGAGAAAATATCATTTCTGATCTGAGCATGAGGTAAGTTTCTAGCAGAAAGTTACTCTTCTTCTAAACCTGTTTAAGATGGGCAGAGTGATTCACTTTTGAGAAATCTCATCAGACAGCACTTGCTGCTTTGATGTTGTCACACTTTTATTTTGAAATGCCTGCATCTTTTGGATTCTTTTCTGACTGGGCTTTATATAGGTTTTTTTTCTTAACTGTGCATGCTTGGGTGGAAAGGAAGAACAGAAGGTATAAAGGATAGAGATCAGTCACAGATTCTCAGAGGTAATGAAATTGAGAGCACAAGAATGGTTGCACTAGGTTAGACCAAAAATTAGAGTACTTTATCGTTCTGTCTTTGATGGTGACTAAAAGCAGATGTTAAGAGAACAACTTAAAAATCAAGGGTATAGTAATACTTTCCTAGGATACAGGAGCTGCCTTAGCTGTAAATGGTGTATTTATTTTCAAAATATGTAGATTTTTCTGAGCTATGACTTGAATCCACAAAATTTTAGCCCTTGGAGAGATCTCTCGTAGGGACTCTGGTGGCACAAGACCATGTCAGGTGAAGAGTAACCTCCCACAGATGTCTTTCTATTAATTTGATGACTGATATTTCTCATATTGGAAGAGATACAGAACTGTTGGTTCTTATTCATGCCTCTTTAAGACACTACTGCTTAAGTGTTGAGATACTTATCTCTAGTCTTTTGTTCTTTATGTTAGTGGCAGCTTACTATTTGAAGCTTCTGTCATCTGCCTTGAGTACTCTTAATTCTACCCTGAAATATTTAAGACTGAAAGCTTATTATTTCTTAAATGGATCATTTTTTTGGGGTTGGAACCATATCCACTTCCCTCTTCAGCTGTTGAATGAGTCAGAATTAATGAGAATTCAGATTATACATAATCTTCACTATATACTGATTCTGATTCTTCTTTTTCTTTCCATAGCTTTGTTCAAACATCTTCACCACAATTTCTCAGCTGCTATTTTCAGTCTACTTGATATCTGTGTTCCCTGTTCATCCTCTTAATCTCTTCTGTACATTTCCTTCTTTTTCTCTTTACTGTAGTTCTTAGTTATAAAAAGCTCTAAAACCAATAAACATGGTACTTATAGCATGTCCGTAGTAATTTTGCTTATTATTGCCTGTGCTCCAGATTTTTGTTAGAATTGTTTGCTATAGTTAGAGAATAGTAAGCTTGTTGGGGTAAAAAATAAATTCTATTGTGGGTTCTGTGCATCACATAATGGTTTATGAATTTTGATTTAATTTTCTGACATCCATTGCAATACTGTTCCTGAAGAAGTGAGTTTTTCCTCAAAACAGTTTTAAAAACTTTTCTACAGTATGATTCTAATGGCTGTCATTAATGATTTTCTATTGTTTTTCTTGTGAAACTTAGAAAATGTGCATCTGTTACAGGAACAGCAGCAATACTGGTACCAGCAGCACCTGCTTAGCCTGCAGCAAAGGGCAAAGGCCCATGCTCAGGGACAGCAGCAGATGAAAAGCCCAGTAGTGAAGGATGAGCAGAGAGCAAAGTCTGAAGAAGAGAAAATGAGTGCTTCAAATCAACAGTCTGAACCTCCTGCTCTTAATGAATCCCTGCCTCCAGCATCCAAAGAAGAGGAGTCTTCTCTTACATCCACTGAACCTCAGGTAGGCTTTGTAAAGTGATGCCACTCCATTTGTGTCCTAGGTGAGCCAAAACCCCAGGAAAATTCATGCCATCAAATTCTCTTGTATACTTTGTAACAACTAAATGTTGTGAAGCAGTCTTAAAAAAAAACATTTGCTAAAGCTGCAACAATTAGAAAATACACTTCTTGTGTATAAAATTACATATTCACCCACACGTGCACCAAACAAGTGTGAGCTGAGTCCCCCGCACCATCCACAGCGTTGTCTGTGAGAACACCTCATGATATTGAAGTGCAAAACCAGGTAGGTACTCAGTTCTTGAGGAATGCTGTGTTTAAGACACTATTTCTTAATCTCTCTCTGGCACTTGGTGAATTCTGGCTCCCCTTCTCTCTGTGTGTTAGAATTGGTCTGAAAGCCGAAAATTTTGCACAGAGGTTTTTTAATCAGCATGCTCAGTAACAGTTACTGTATAATAGATGGAGGTCATGATTGATGTTTGAACAGTATGTGCTCCACTTTAACTTAGAGCATGCAGATTCCTACAAAGTGGCAGAAATAATGCACTTGGAGTTACTTTACCTCATTGTGAGAAACCTGTTTCTCATTACATTTACTGTGAGTGGCAGATAACAGATTTTCATTAAGCTCTTTCCTGTAGGTAGTTTCTTTATGTATGAATAACTTAATTGCCATCAGCCTAACTTTTAGATTAGACTGTTCACATTAAGAAAATATGTGTTCACACCTAGAAAAGGTGGGGTAAAAATCAGCCTTCCAAGAGCTGTGGGTGGCTGAAATAGAGTGATAAAGTAGGAACAGTGAGAAAGTTCCTGTAAGATGTGTAGTGACCAAGTGTATTCTTTTCTGACAGATGCAACTTTCCTTTGTTTATAGTATTTACCTTTTTCTATAGCTCAATATTGAACCTCCTGATGACCCTGAGGAGGATTTGAGATTGCAGCAATTGCAAGCAGCAGCAGCTCAATGGCAGCAGCACCCCCATCAGCGGGTTGGGTTCCAATATCAGAGAATAATGCAGAAGCACGCTCAGCTGCAGCAGATAGTACAGCAGTATCAACAGATCATGCAACAGCCTCCACACTTAGAGGTGAGACACTAAGGAGGTGGTTTGATATACATCCTGGGTGACCCAGCACTCACAGTCTGCTGAAAAATGCGTAGTTGAGTAATTTGTAATGGTTGGCTCATTTGTCTGGCTACTTTTTCTGCTTGGGTAGAAGTTTATATCCATTTTCCCTACTGTCACAACTTCCGAATGAAAAAAACATTGGCAGATGGTGATAACGCTTCAGTAGGATGAGAAATACAATATTTTACACTTCTTGTGAGATTTTTCTGGATGTACCTAGGTGATACAGGAGCAAAGCTGAACACAATATTGAATTTACTCAGCTTTGAGTGTTTTGCCACTGAAGAAACAATTCAGAAAAGTCATGTAAACAGATGATTGCAGAGTAATTTGGAAGCTGCTCTTTTTTACAAAAATAAATATGTACAATTATAAATGTAGATGACAAAAATAGACAGGAAATGTAGTTTTAAGAATCAGTATCTCACATTATTTTTAACTCGAGTAATCAGTTGAAACCAATATTGTGACCTTTAAGCTTTTAAGTAGAAGTTGATTATTGTATTAGAGGGTTGAGTCAACTCTTATTGGGTTGGTGGAGTTCATACATTAAACATTTCTTTGTAGGTTGGGCTGTCTGCGTTCGTTTTTTTTTTTTTTTAATCTCTTTGGGTAAATCTTAAAAATCTCAGGCAAAATCAAGCCTGATATCTTCACATAATGAAAGACAGAATTTGAAGAAGCTTCATTTGTGCAAATAAGATCTGGCAGAGGCTTAGAGAAAAATAATGGCAGACAGCTGAGGGAGTTCTGAGCAGGTTAATAGCAAAAACTGAAGCCTTGAGAAATAGTCACATAATGTATATATGTGAAGATTGATTTGAGCTTTAGCCATTGTTAGGATGCAGTAATAATGCAGTTTATACAGATTATAGGTTTCTTCAGCTGTCCTGTTGGGGTCTTCTATACATAGATATAGTATATGGTCATAAAATATATAAATTTTCACAATGTCTTTACATGTCACTGTTAGTGTTTGTTTTTGTTACAGTGTAGTTCTTCCTCAGCCTTGCACCCAAGTCATCAGAAATTGTGATAGTACAAGTGATACTGGAATACGTGGCTCTGATAGTAACTGACTATCTAAGGTATTTTGAACCTATTCTTGTCATCTCATTGCAGACAATGTCAGTGGACATGCAGCTGCGACATTATGAGGCACAGCAAAAACAGTTCCAGCAGCTTCATAAAGATTGGGAGCGATCAATGAACCAGCAGTGGCAGCATCAGCTTCAAACCTACCCTCACAAAGACCAGCTTCAAGAGTATGAGAAGCAGTGGAAAGCATGGGATGAACAGATGAAGGTTACTCAGTCACATCTGCAGGAAAAAGTGACCTCACTCCAAAATCTGAAGAATCAATATCCTGCAAATGTGTCACTGCCACCTCCATTTATTCCATATTCCCAAACTGGTCAAGGTGGCATTCCTGTTATGCCTCCAGCTTTACCTTCAACTACACCTCCACTGGCTCCCCCACCCCTCTCTTCTGTTTCTCAGTTATCCAATTCCTCTGTCCCTTCAGGATCCGGTTCTCAAAGCAGTCAAGCTACTGAAGCGCCAAGGCCAGCTCTCCTTCCCACCCCTGGTACCTATGCATCAAAAATAGCTAGTTCAACTAGCTATTCACCTTACCATTCTCAAGTAGGTTCATCCTTTGGCTCATCTGACCATGGAAAATCTCAAGGTCATCTTAGTAAACAAACTGTAAATATTTCATCTGAACAGCAGTGTGGGGAACTGAAAGGCACTTCTGCAGTGTCTTCGACACACACGCCTGTTGTGCAGGATAAACCGGTGAGATCAGGTGGATTGCTTCCAGATCCTCCCAGATCAGCACGTTTTGAAGGCCCTAGAGGCCCTAGGTAAGAAAGTTTTTGTTGATCTATACATATTCCAGGCTACAAGATTTTCAGAGATTTATTAAGAAATGAAATATCTATCGTTTTCTCAAATCTTTTTGAGGTTGTGGGAAGTGTGTATTTCAGTGGAGGTTTTGTTTTTAATGTATGTACACCATACTCTCTGTATTAATATTTTTAAAGCAAGGATACATAGATGGCTTTCACTTGAGCATAATCTAGAGTAGTAGTTTGCTTTTTTTTTTTTTTTGGTAAAGTGCTTGAGGATGCTGCCCCTTTTTAGTCACAAAGACACAATGCTCCTTCTTTGAAAATAGGAAAGCTTTTGTAAATATTTTATATGTTTTTGCTGATTTTATACCTGCTATATAATTTAATCCAAGATCTTGTTTTTCTGAATGTTTTTCTTTAATACATGATACCAGGGTGCAAAAACAACATCTGTTCTATCTGCTGATTAGTTCAAGATGGGTTGGTGTGCTGTCTGCTGAATCAAAGGGCAGTGGTGTTCTGCTCAATTGTTTCTATCCTTGTGTACTCTGCTAGACTTTACAGTAATATCTTCATGGTTATTCCCCTTCTCTTTGCTTCCAAAGTGATCAATCATGAATAATAATTTGTGAATTGCTAGCAGTGTACATGAGCTTTATACAAATGAATCAATTTTACCTCCTTGTAGTTTTTAAAAAGTGTTTCAGTTCCTGTGGATTTGTTGGATGTACAGTTCTGAACAGAGTGTTTTCATGACTTGCTAGTGCATGTCTTTTATGTGTGTTGGTTTAGAGCTCAGTGATATGCAATGATAGGCCCAGGTTGTCTTTCTGGGCTGTGAGCAGACATTTCTGGTTCATGTCCAGCTTTTCATCCACAGTAATCCCAAGTCCTTCTTGGCAGGGCTGCTCTTGATCCCATCATCACCCAGCCTATACTGAGACCAGGGGCTGCCCTGACCCAGCTGCAGGACCTTGTACTTGGCCACATGAGGTTCCATGGGCCTACTTCTCAACCTTTTCTAGGCACCTCTGGATGGCATCCTGTCCATCAGGCATGTCACCCACACCACACAGCTTGGTGTCTTCTGCAAACTTGCTGAAGGTGCACTCAGTGCCACTGTCTATGTCATTGATGAAGATAAAAAACAGTGCTCAGTCATCTGAGGGACACCACTTGTCACTGTCACTGATCTCCATCTGGACATTGAGCCATTGTCCCCTATCCTCTAGATGTCACCATTCTGTCAGTTCCTCATCCACCAAATAGTCCCATCCATCAAATCCACCTCTCTCCAATTTAGAAAGAAGGATGTTTTGGGGGTGCATGGAAAAGGCCTTAAAAAAGTCCAGACAGATGACATCAATACCCCTTCCTTATCCATTAGTCACTCCCATTATAGAAGGCCACTGGGTTGATCAGGCAGAACTTGCCCTTGATGAATTTGTGCTGGTTGTCTCCAATGACCTTCCTCTCCTCCATGTGCCTTGGCGTAGCTTCTGGGATGGTCTTCCCAGGCACAGAGGTGAGACTCACAGGTTAGTTTCCAGGGTCCTTCTTTCTACTCTCTTTTAGAATAGGTGCAGTGTTTTCCTTCTCACAGCCACCAGGTACTTCACTGACTGTCACCATTCCTAGATATCATGGCTTGGCAAATATGGTAGCAAATTCCCTAAGTATTCTGGGATGTATCTCATCAGGTCCCATAGACTTACATATATTCAGGTTCTTCATGTCATTATGAACCTGATCTTCTCTTGTCGTGGGAGTGACTTTGCACCCCTAGTCCCCTAGTCCCTGTTTTGCAGTCCATCCACTCAGGAGGCGTAGAGTTGTCAGTGAAGACTAAGGCAAAAAAGTTGTTGAGTATCTGAGTCTTTTCCTCATGCATTTTTACCAGTTTGCCAGTTGTGTTTGTCCAAGGGGTACACTTTCTATGACCTTTCTTTTCTGGCTGATGGCCTTGCTTTGGCCTTCCTGATTCATCTGGTGATGTACAACTGTGAATCCCAGACATCTAAGCAATTTGACTTTAGACATGAGTTCTCTATTTTGTGTGCACTTATTCTATAGGACTTTAATACGACATCTTCATTTGAATAAAATTTCTGTTGCATCATCTGTAGATTTGACGGGCCTCGAGGAAGAGGATATGACAAGTTTGAAGGCTCAAGGCAGAGAGGACCTCGTTTTGACTCCCAGCGCTCAGAAGGATACAGGTCACGTTTTGACCGACAGAATACAGATGGACAGTCTTCAAGCAGATGGGGCTCTATCCCACGAGGACCAGCAGGACAATTTTATACAGCAAATGCATCACATGGACACGGTTCCCGACCTAGTGGTCCACGGTGGATGGGGCCCAGGCCTCACTTGGGACAGCAGCAGCAGCAGCAGACGCAGATAGACTCACAGTCAGAAAGCAAAGAGCCTTTTACAGACACGGCTGGCGATCAGCAGTCTGTGAGCAGAACTGAGTCTGCTCCTGACGCACAGAGTGCAGGTCCCATTGAGCCAAATGAGGACCTGACAGACACTCAACAGGAAGCACCCAAACCTGAAGTCAAAGAACCTAGTTCAGACCCTCCTAAAAAGTGGACATGGAGTTCACATGATCCCAACCAGCAAGTAGAAGAGTCCAAGGCACCCACCCCACCTATTCAGAACCAGAATACAGTACCCTCTGCAGAAGGAAATGAGAATTTGGATACACCAGATATCCAGTTGACTGCTTCAGATAGCACCCAGGGCCTACCTGGACCGGAAGGCAGAGGAAAAGGGCCATTCATGCATGAAGATAGAGGAAAGGGACCAGGAAGCAGAGGAAGGGGCCGTGGCAGAGGGCAAGGGGATGGCCGTGGCTGGGGAATGAGCCGTGGCCGGGGAATGGGAAGGATGGATGGTGGCCGGGGAATGGGAAGGGTGGACGGTGGTTGGGGAATGGGCAGGATGGATGATGGCCATGGCCGGGGAATGGGCAGGATGGATGATGGCCGTGGTAGAGGATATGTATACAGAGGCAGAGGGCAGGCTAGGCAGCCATCCATCCGTGGCAGGGGAGCATTCAGGAGTGCAGACAACAGGGAGAGGATGCCAGATAGACGGTCAGGCAGCAGGGAGAGGATGCCAGATGGACAGTCAGGCAGCCGGGAGAGGGGGCCGGCTGGACGGTCAGATAGCCATGAGAGGCTGTTCTCTAACCGAGACAGAGAGCCACCTGGACGGACAGGCAGCTGGGACAGGGGCCGGGCAGGAAGCCGGGAGAGAGGCCCGGTGAGACGCGCCTCTAGCCGGGAAAGAGAGCCCGTGCGGCGGGCAGGGAGCCGGGAGAGGGAGCCCATGCGGCGGGCGGGGAGCCGTGAGAGGGTCCCCGTCAGGCGGGCAGGGAGCCGGGAGAGGGTCCCCATCAGGCGGGCAGGGAGCCGGGAGAGGGACCTGGGCAGGCGGGCAGGTAGCCGGGAGAGGTGTCCCATCAGAAGGGGAGATAGCCATGAGAGGGAAGCAGGAAGATCTGAAACAGGCAGTATGGGTAAACCCATTCACTTAGGAGATGACCCTGACAAATTGCCTCCGTATCATCGAGATGAAACATTCAGGGGTTCTTGGGGTCATGAAGATGATACAATGCAGGAGGAATTTCCTTTAGATAATCAAGATGACCCATCTTTGGAGCATGAGCAGTTGGATGAGTGGGAAAGAGAACAATACTGGAGAGATCACAACTCTGATTATCAGGATGATTCTGTACATGTGTATGACAGAGATGACAGGTTGCAATCCCACCATTCACTGCCTCCATTGTCTCCCCTACCACCACTACCTCCTTTATCATCTGATCACGACAGACGAGATTCGTGGTGGGATGACTGGAAAAGGCCAAGAGAAAGGGAACTGGAGAGAGATCTAGATAGAACTGGAAGATCCTCAGATATTTATGATCAAGATTTAGACAAAGAATGGGATAGAGACTGGGACATGAGACATATGGATGACAGAGAAATGGGGAATCGTGACCTGGATATCCCCCCTCTACCACCATTACCACCCCTTCCACCTCTGGACAGGTATCGTGAAGATAGGTGGAGGGACGATAGGAACAGAGATCATTATGACAGAGATCTCCGAGACAGGGGCGAGCTTAGGATTCGAGAATATCCGGAGAGATACGACACGTGGCGGGAGAAGCAGGACTACCTTCCTGAAAGGACTGACTGGGAGAGAGAACGCCTGTCAGATAGGTGGTATCCAGATGATGGAGAGAGACTGAGGTCTCTGGATGACCACTCAGATACATCCCTTCCCCCCCCTTCGCATTCCTCTGATATGCTGGGAGCAGATTCAAACCTGGACTCTGACCAGTCCTTGGGAGGAGTGATGGTCCTAAGCCAAAGACAGCATGAGATAATTCTGAAGGCTGCCCAGGAGCTCAAAATGCTTCGGTGAGTTGTCTGGTTCTGTGATTTTGAATAGGAATCCCGTTCTGTGGGATCCGTTTGAATCAATGGATCAATCAATAAGTAAAGTAGTAAAAGTAATGGCTTCATTTCTTTGACCTGCAGCATGATAGCAGGAGCTCATGTGGAAGAAGTTATTTGGAGTACCTTTACCACAGTTTTTGTAGATGGACTTTTTTTCTTAAATAAGTGATTGTCCCTTTCCAGGGAGAGATGTGTCCCATCATCTGACCAATCTTTTTGTTATCTTCAAACAAACTTGTGGATAATTGCTTTTCAGTATTATTGGTGGTATCAGATGAGCTTAGTGATAACTGCTTTTAAGTACTTACCCCTCAAGACATACATTAATGTGGTTCTTAAGACCTGTTTTTTTATACTGCTCACTTTTAAGTTAAAACATAGGTTAAAACATAGGTTTTGCTCATTTGTTTGGTTTTTTTACAGAACCTCCTCATTTGAAACCAGATATTGTTGGTGAAAAGTTTTGTCAAATTTGGTTGATCTTAAGTTCTGGGAATCAGCATAAAAGGAGTGATCTAACAGTTAGGAAGATATGAATGCCAGAGTTTATCAGGACTGCATTTTTAGAAAGCAGCTACTAGCATTCCTAAGGCTTTAATAAGTGTTTATTATGAAATTAGTAATAGGAGAGATGGGGCTGTATGAGGCTTTCAGCAACCTGATCTAGTGAAAGGAAGGCTGGAACTAGATGATTTTTGAAGTCCCTTCCAACCCAAGCCATTTCATGAGAGAGATATTTTGCACTTTTCTTCAGACTGTTTTGTTTTCATATTTGTAAGATTGCTGAGCACTTCTCCCATATAGAAGGCCTTGGATGCATGCCAAAATGCAAGAAAAAATTGTTTTTTAAAGGGAGAACTTTTATTCTGAATAATTTAATAATTTACTGCAATCAGATTACTTCAATGGTGTTATTAACTGTGAAATCCATGTTGTAAAGTAGTATTTGCTGAAAGTTTGGAGTTACATTATTTTCAGCTTCCTGTCTTTCCCATTGCCTCAGTTGCCCAGCATGTGTTTTGCTGTTTATTGTGACTTGCTGCAAGCCAGTCACTTAGGCTAAGGAACATAGTTTGGGAATCAGTACGAGAGAAATTTATTAGGGCTTAAATAATTTAAACATAGTCACTAAAATATTTTATGTAAAAAGTAGTTACATATACATCTTTCAAAGCCAGTAAAAAGGGGAAATATAAATATGATACTGATTCTTAATAGAATATGAGGGTAATCTTCAAATTAGTTACACTGGTACTTCTCATTTGGTTCTTATAGACAGATGATTTAAGTCTGAACAGTAGGAACAACTTTATGGAGATTACTTATTAATTTTTATGGGGATTTTTTGGGTGAAGAGTTATACCAGTAGTGTGGTACATAACTGCTTTCATCTCCAAAACTAAAGCCTTCATCTGGCTTTGCTTTTATTGTGTTTAAAACAGCATGGTCTCAGCTGCAGCCTGTTCTGTATTTGTGATTTAGTGTAGTGCTCAGTTTACTCTTTTGTATTTACAAAACACTGAGGATTCTTTTCTTTGAGCCAAGTTCCCCTTCTGCTAAACACTCAATTGATGCATTACTGGTTAGGGTGGTTTCTGTTACATCTTGCTACAGAAGGATCCCATTCCTAGTTGTCATTTAAAAACTGCTTCAATGCAGAGTTATTAGCAATTGAAAAACCTAGATTAAAAATGCTAACAAAAACTGAAGGGAAAGGAAATCATATTCACTAGAACTCTGTAATCCAGTGATTATAGTACTCACAGCTGAACCTGGTCTCTGCTCTGTAGACTATGTATTGGTTGTGTATTAAATAGCATTTTGATATATAAACCAAAGAAGCAAAAGTTAGACTCATTGTTTGGGTTTTAATATATTGGAATCTCTTGTGCTTTGTTGGCCTTAGTCCTGTTACCATGTGAACCAGAGCAAGTAACTGAGAGCACTTAGGTATGTGCTTCCAAGGGGTTTCTTGCTTGCAGAAGGTGTTGACAGAAACCAAAATCCATCTTTTCTCTTTACTGTTCACATGAAGTGGCTCTGGCAAAGCACAAAAGCATAACTACATGTCTCAGGAAACTTGTGATCAAAAAGCGTGCAGCTAATACACTAAATGCCTCCATGGTTAGGAGGATGTGAAACAGGGATTTCTGAATCACAGCATTACCCATATAAACCCTGCTGTGTCCTTTTCTTCTTTTGGTTTTGTCTCTGGTACTAGTGTAATATGTGTTCTCACCATGAGCACTGATTTATTTTATTTTTCATTTAAGCTATAGACTGATAACATTTTCTTATGATGCATGTGCAGGGAGCAAAAAGAACAGCTACAGAAGTTGAAGGAGTTCAAACCTGACATTTCCACCCAAGAGTCTCCAAGATCACAGAACACAAGCACAAGGCCAGGTGCCTTTCAGGTAAATTCATCTTACACTGATAACATATTGGTAGCAGTTACTGTTTATGTATGTTGAGCCAGTTCTACACACTGATGGTCAAATTTCTCTCTGGAGTGCTTCCTCAGCAGTCCTTACAACCTTAGCTATCTTCTGTTGAGGCAAAACAACTTCTTTGTTTCTTTAAATTTTCCAAAGCATTTTCTGCTCAGTCTGTTGCAGCAGATCTCTCATTAGGGGTGGAAATGAGCCAAGACACAGACTCTCATTTAAAACCTGAAAAGGGTCCTGGTTTATTCTTCTTTACAGCTTAGCCATCCTGACTGACTACAGCAAACTCCTGCTGTTGGCTTCTCTGACAGAGTGACTGCTGGCTATTTCCTGCTGGAATAGGACTGCAAGTATTTCCTTGCTACCTCTGACTGCAGGCTTTTACCTAGCTCAGCTATGACTGCAGGCTCCAACAGCAGGCTCTATCAGACCCAGACTGACCTTGCAGCAGATCTTTTGCAGCAGCAACTCTCTTCCTTGTTTTGTTCTTCTTTGTGTTTCTCTGGATCATTCCTTCTTCCTTGGGCCTCCTCTACCTCTCCAAGATCCTCTTCCTCAAGGCTCTCCCTGACTGGCCCACCCATCCCTTCTATCACACCTTTATTAATCAGAGCCCATTAAAGGCAAGGCTATTCTTCTTTGGTAATTAGTACAACTGTGACTTATCAGGGGCGAGGACCCTTGTAATCTCTTCTTCTCCATGTAAAAATCCACCATGTCTTCTGAGTATGACCCATCAGGGATGGTTGCACATAAAACAGTCTAGATTGCTGTAGGATAATGTGCAAAAAGAGGCGAGCTCTCCCAAAACAGGGATATAAGATTCACAAGAGGATCCTGATTTTCCTTGCTTAAATTCTTTCAATTCGCACTACTTTTCCTACTTCAGGAGCTATCTCCTCTTTGAAGTTGGGAAAACTTGAGGATACATCCATCAGAAATTGAGATATTTCAATGTAGCATGGGCATTAGCCTTCTGTTTGCTGTTTTAATTGGGAATTTTTATTACCTTCTAGAATATCATGAAGTGCCTGGAAACTCATGTTTGTGTACCTCCATCCAGTTGTGATGCAACTACTCCTGTACTGCTTAATTTCCTGTGCAGTTCTGGGAACTATTCTCAGATGCATATATTTGGGTTTTTTTGGTAATTCAGAAATCAACTGAACTTCTGCAGTCGTGCTAACTCAGGTTTATAAATCCTTCCTAGAATGAGTAAACAGTTTTGTTAAATGTGTATTGGAGGAGACATCTGAGTTGATGCACCGTCTTTGTTCTTCATCACATCTTAACCCCAAAGTTACTCACACCAATAAATTTAGCCATAAGGTCTTCTGGCTCTGACATTTAGCCAGACCAACCTTTTTTTGTCCCTCCGTCCAGGGAAGTGTTGTGCAGTGAATGAGGCACTGCAAGTTTTCTTTTTGCTTAGGTGACCTCTTCCTTGTTTACAGTGTCTGTAAAGTAAAATAATGGAGCTGGTTTGCTACCAAGAACTGCAGATATGTTGATGCCTTTAGGAAGTTACTTCACTCTATTTTGATATTTTGTATCTCAGACTACTTCACTTGTCTGCCTAGAGGTTTTCAAACAACTTTTGTCTTTCTTGGAATTCTTCCTTCCAGATATTTCTGCCATGACTTTGAGTTGTTATTACAGAGCTCAGCTTTGTATCTACAACCGTCCTGCAATTTTTGTTGTATGTTGCTAATAAGGCTGCCTGTAACTTGGCATCTGCTCTGATGCTGAAAAGTCCTGTAATGTGTGGAGTTTCTTGTGGATGTTTGGTTCATGAAGGATTTGGTTTGGTTTTCGACTAGACAAGACCTTCCAATTTCTTATGTTCTTCTGATATTTATTTTATTAAGGTTTTCCAGGTATTTCTGCTCTCTGAATTTTTCCGGTGGTTTCCACAAAGAAACTGGCCTTATCAGTCCTTTTGCATCTCACCAAGCTGCCCTACTTTCAGATTTTCAGCCTTCACACAGATGGCAGGAATCTTTGCAGACAGCAGGAGTCTTTGGAAATAAACAGTAGACACTTTTGAACTGAGATAGGCCTACTGGAGCTAAAATTGGTAAGGTTATTTTGAAGAAAATCAGCAGTGTTTAAGCCTTCACATAGTGAGCATACGCAAAATTAAATCAGGCCACCAGTTTTAAAAAATAGTCCTCCTACCTGTAGCACCTTGATGGAGGTACTAGAAAATGTGTATGGTTTGACTACCAATTGCCATTGCACATACTGAGGATGAGAGAAGGTTAGTTGCAGATCTACATTAAAAGTGCTTTCTGCATCTAGGTGTCTTCTCAGCAATCTTTAGAGGCACCAGTAGAAGCCCAAGCTATTAAACCTTCTCCTGCTGTTATTATAAAGCCTCCTGTGTTGTTCAGACGGCCCACCCCTGTGACAAGACTAAGTGCCCCACTGGCAAGGCCTGCTCCCATGACAAGGCCACATGCTCCACTTTCTACTCCAACTACAACCCCAAGTCATGGTCAGTCTTTGAAACCATCACCTTCTACTGTGGAACAGGAACGCTGGGATGAGGACTCTTTCCACGGACTCTGGGACACAAATGAGGATAAAGGTGCCAACATGGAGTACGAGCTGTGTAAACAGGAGTCCATGATGCCTCCCCCTGTCTCCTCGCCCGTGAAGATACCTGCTGTCCACACCTCCATTCCACCAGCTGTACCAGTGTCCCTTTCTCCCGTTATTCCAGCGGTTCCCAAAGCACCCATCATTCAGCAAACGGTGGATTATGGCCACGGGCGAGGTGGGTATCACAGTGCATTTGGTATGTATCAAAGAGCTAATTAGTCTTCCTGACCTTTTTTTTTTTAAGGAGTGTGCCATGCAAAGTGTGTGTGTTCTGCAGTTGATGTGTAGGCTTGTGTGCATTAATGATGTAATGCTGATCAGTGCAGTTATAAGGAGTCCCTAACCTTTAACCAGTTATGACTCTGAGTTTAGTGTTTTTCTTGATGCTTTTAGAAAGAACTGTTTCATGTTGGTGAACAGTGTATTTTCCATGGTTACTATTCCATGAATGGTGTATAGCCATGGGTGCTTCTAATAAGTACAAAATGATGTGCTGTTTTTAGGTTGATAATGTTACTTTCCCTTAATCCCTTTGTAGGTGAGTATGGAAATAACTGGACTAGAAGGTACTTCGGATGGTTTGAGTTCTTAGGTGTTACTAGTGATTTAAAACAGAATGTGGCTGGTGTTTGCATTATTTATATACTGCAAAATGGGTGTGAGGTACCCTCTACCCAGAGGGGGAGGCAGAGTCTAGTTCTGAAGGGCATGCACCCTATACACTTGTTTAACACATAAGTAAATAGGGAGGCTCTGATTTTTACTACTGAACTTACCAAAGCTAAAATTCAACACTAGTTTTTAATAGAATTGATCCCCCTCCTTTAACAGGAGTGAAATCATGTCATAAAGAAGTTCTTAAATTGTGTGTTGTCATTTAAAGACTGTTTTTTCCCCTCTCTAAAGTACATAACAGGACTGGAAGCCGTATCTCTTCCATTAAGTAAATGGTTTTCTAAAAGATGTTTGAAAAAATGTCATTGTTGTGAGACTTTCAGATACTATTGTTGACATTACAGTAACTCTGTGAATTATTAAAACTTACAGAGCGTTTTAATGTTTAGAATTTTCTGACACTGCATGCTACCCGAACTCACCTGAAAAGGCAGTCCCATTGTTAAGATGAGTGGTTTACATACACACACACAAACTCAGCCTTTGAAAACCATGATGCTGTTTATTTATGTAAAGCTCTTTTAGCATTTTCCATTAGAAGAAATTATGGTAGTTTGTTCTAGTCACTTTTAGTGCCATTGACTGATTACTTTTCAAGAAGAGGAAAGAAAATACAAGCGTGTGTTTTAAAACCTTAGGATTCTTTTGTTTATTTTCAACCAGATATAACCACGAGTAAAGTGGAACAGATTCCATATGGGGAGAGGGTAACCCTTCGTCCAGAACCTCTACCAGACAGGCAAACATTTCAAAAAGGTAGGAGGTGCTTGGCTGGCTTTCAAAGAGTTAGTTAGCTCTTAGAAAAGTTGTAAAATGTTAAAGCTTGTTCAAACTAAGTAATTCTTGTTTAAGCTACAACCACTTTATTTTCTTCAGAGGTCCATAAGACTAACAGTTTATATTTTCAAGAGGAGTCAATAACCTAGCCACTTTAAAAACTCAGTTTGTAGCTTTAAGTAGGACTGCATGGTATGGTTGTCTCTCGTACAGTTTGGAAATGAGTGTGGATAAAGTGCATCCTAGCTCACATACCATATACTTTTCTTGCACTCTTACCTGTTGCCTTCTTTTCCCAAAACAGTAGTTTGGATTTCTATGGGTTTCTCCCTCCAGAGCATCCAGGTCGCTACAATAGAGAAAGAGACCGTGAGCCTTATTTTGAGCGTCAGGGTAATTCCAGCACAGATCACCGGGATTTCAAGAGGGAGCGGGAATTGCACAGAGACCGAGGCTCTGTGGACTACGAACGAGAGAGGTTTGACAAGGAGCGGCACCCCCGAGACGACAGGTACGTGGCTTTGGAGCACTATGGACATCGATACAGTTGAGGCTGTATTGTGTATCAGGCTGTCCATTTTGCCTGTGAGGTATATGTTCCTTTCACTCTGGAATCCACAGTGGAAATCCACAAAAATGCACAAAATACACAAAATACTTTTTTGGCAGGGTTCTTCCTACCACACCTTCAAGGACTCAGTCTTACCGTGACAAGAAAGACCATCCATCCTCCAGGCGAGGTGGTTTTGACAGACCACCATATGAACGAAAGACAGATCGTCCAGCATATGATCATGGGCCTTCCATGTTTGGAGGTACAGTTTCTCTATCTTAAAAGTCTTGCTAGAATAGTATAAAAAAATAATGAACATGCAGAGGTGAAGATTAATTGGTAGAAGATTGATTTGCAGTATTTGTTTTTTCAAAATATATAATTCAGGAAAATCTCTTTAGGTGGTGATATTTAGGTTTGTTTCTCAGTGGTGTTGAGATCATGAATGAAACTGTTATATACTCTGCTAAAAACTGTCTTTGATTGCAATAGGTTTAAGAATAGAAATTTTAATTATTTATGAGGACCTGTCTGTGAATTTAACTTAAAATAATGAAGGTCTGTTTAAATCAGCTCAGAACATCTTAATTTTTTTATTTTACTGAACTAAGAAAATTCTTCTGTCCAAACACTGGAATTTGAAGGTGATCGTAGAAATTACCCTGAGGAAAGGATTCCTATTTCTGCTCCATCAATGCCTCGTCAGCCACCACCTGCTCCACGAGTAGAAAGGAAGCCAGAATCTAAAAATGTAGATGATATCTTAAAGCCACCAGGGCGGGATAGCAGGCCAGAGAGGGTGAGTGTACATTCTGAAAGCAACAATCAATTTGAACAAGGTCTGTATTCAGATAAAGTGCTGGTGGGTGTAATATGTTGGGAACAAGTGTACATTTGAGGAAGCTCTGGAAATTAGCTTGATTCCTTTGCAAAGTGTTGTAGCACAGCTATTAGGAGTCCACAGGAGAGGTAAACTTCATTGGAACACTCAAAGCAAATTTGTGTGTAATATTAAAGTGTTTTGCACTCTTCTGAGGTCTTCACTTTGGTTTTTGATGTATCAGGGGAAAGACTTGTCTTTACCCAGAGATTTGGCAATGCACGTGTTATATAAGAAAGAACACAATTTAGGGTATAAAATATTTAGGTAAGTTTCTTTCAGTCGAATGAAAGAAGTTAGTGAAACTGAACCAGATCTATAGCATGCAGCCTAAACTGCTGTCATGATTAACATCAAAAAGTCTGAATTATGTGAACTACTACCATTTCTCACAGCCTTGTTTCTAAAACAGACAGGGAGTGCTTGATGATATGCAAAAGTGTGAGCCCACAGCACATAATTATCCAGAAGAAAATATTTGCAAAAGAGTCTGTTAAATTTAGTACAGTATCATACCTGCTTACATGATCTTTGTTTCAGATTGTGATCATCATGAGAGGGTTACCTGGCAGTGGAAAGACACATGTAGCAAAACTCATCAGGGTACGTAAACAGGCACTCACTGTGTAGTGCTGCTTGTCCTTTACATGTGCTTCCTCCACTGTTTGCTTTGTGTTTGCCTAGAATTCAAGTCTGTTGTTATTTTGTCCATGTGTTCATGTGCTATGTGAATCTCCACCAGTGTTAGCAAGCAGGAGGGATACTACTCTCTTTTTGTTTTTCCTATTGAGCAGGGAACTGCTGTTGACCAAAAGTATTTTGAAGTATTTTGAAGTGTAGCAGAATGGAATTTTTACAGCAAAGGTATATACTTTCTTTTTGCTTTCTTCCCAGGATAAGGAAGTAGAATGTGGAGGACCTGCGCCAAGAGTGCTCAGCCTGGATGACTACTTTATCACTGAAGTGGAGAAAGAGGAGAGAGACCCAGATACAGGGAAAAAAGTTAAAAAGAAGGTAATCTTAATTCTGTTGTTTTTCTTGACAAAGAAACAAGACATTCTGGAAAAACAGTGGCCATCAGAATTCCAGTCTGTGGGTTGGGAAGAGTGCAGAAGTCTCTGGGCTGTTTTTCAAAACAAGCCAATATAACTTGTATTGGGTGGTATATTAGGGTGGTATGAGCAAATTCTTAAAAACTGACCTGAAGGGTGTTTTTCCCACACCAGTGTACTTTGTGGTCATGCCATTCAGGTGTTGAATATTAGCCATTTTATAGATGTCCTCTTTCTTAATGCTTTTGTCCTTGGTAAAGGTGATGGAGTACGAATATGAGGCTGATATGGAGGAGACCTATCGTACCAGCATGTTTAAAACTTTCAAAAAGACCTTGGACGACGGCTTCTTTCCCTTCATTATCCTTGATGCTATCAATGACAGAGTGCGACACTTTGAACAGTTCTGGAGTGCTGCAAAAACAAAGGGGTTTGAGGTAATGGAGCCGGAATAGCTTTTGAACTTGCTGACAGCCATATGCTGATGTTTCTAAACTTTTGAATGGAAAAGTCTCCCACATTCAGGAAAAATGCTGTGGTTTACAGTTGCAAATTGACCTTTCTTAAAGTTTATAACTGCAGAGTGTATTACAAGGTAGAAGAGAGCTCTAAAAATTGGTTTACAGTACTTAACAGTCTTTTTCTTTCTAGGTGTACTTAGCTGAAATGAGTGCAGATAACCAGACGTGTTCCAAGAGGAATATTCATGGGCGCAAGCTAAAGGATATCAGCAGGGTAACTATATACATCTGGAGTCATACTGTGCTTTTGGGGCTGCTGCTGTTTGAAAACTATAGACTACATAATGCTTGCCCTTTTCCTCTGAGAAATACTGGTAGTTATTTCATGGGATTGATTAAAATTACTGAAGTACAGATACATCCTGTTAGCAATCAGGAACGAAATTTTCCAATGAATCTGTTAGATTTTTAGAGGTGCTTCATTTTTGTGTGTTTTGTTAGATGTCTGATCACTGGGAGGCAGCACCACGCCACATGATGCGCCTGGACATTCGTTCTCTGCTGCAGGATGCTGCTATCGAAGAGGTGAGAATCTCTGTGCTTGTTAAAACTGCAGATTATGTCAATGTCACTGTACTGAAAATATGAAGCTGACAAAGATGCGATCACAGCAAGGCACTTTAGAAAGCCAAACTCACTGTCAGGAAAGTGTATTTTGTTATTATGAATTACCCCAAACATAAATGTATATTTTTACCTTTTATCACCTTTTTGAAGCTCAGACTTGGGCATCTTTGAGCAAGAGTTGAAGTCACTTTGCTCTTAGCAACTGTTGAATACCAATTAAGAAGATTAAAGAGAAACTTTGCACTCTTAGATGAAGCTCAGCACTTTTAGAGGTTACTGAATCATTTAGATCGTATTTGAGAAAGTAAGATAAGAAAATAAACAAATTTGAACTCGGTCCTTGTTTTGAGAAATACAGATGTTTAGCAGAGACTGGAGAAATAAATCACATGTAGCAGAAGGCTAAAATTGCCTTTTCACTTCATTTGCAGTTTGCCATGACATGCATCTTTGGTGTGTCAGCCTACTGTATTGTTGCATTCTTTTTTAGCAGTTTTGTCAGGAGCTGTGGGCATAAATTAGTGTTTTAGTTGTGTGGTCTTTTTGAATGAACCATGGCTTGTTGCTGTCACAACATCTCTTGACACAGCCATAGAAACTGATGAACTGCTGAAGTAGACAGTCCGTCTTTGCAGGTTGTCACAATGTTAGCAAGTTATTATTGCATCTCCAAATTCTTTGTACTGGAAAATAGTAATCTTTAAAAGGACAGCAAAAGGTTCCACAATAAAGTAGGTTCAGAGAACGACAGACTGGGATTTACAAGGTTTTGCAAATTATGTAAAGGACTGTACAGACGTGGGGAGTTCAACATATTCCAGAGTATATGCATGGCTCCCCAGTACAGCTGTGGAGCCCAGAAAGTATTGCATTAGATGAGCAGAGTTAGATATTATGTCATCATTCTTCTATTTTGTTACGCTGAGCTCTGTGGTTACTATTATGCTTTACTGTGATTTAAAAAAAACGTAAAAGATAAAGGCAGCCATTCCAGGTATATATAGATGGCAAGTTTAAGAACTTTTTCTGCGATTGCAAGTTTTTAAATCCGATTGTGTGGGAAGCAAGAGAAGTAACTTGGTGTTACAGATAGTGGTAACACAAGGAATGCGTGTGAAGGAAGGAATGAACAATTTTTTCTTTTCCCCAGAAAATCTTTGTAAAGAATATTCTTTGTCATTCTGTTGCTAGAAGAGAACATGCTTCTTAGGAAAGCCAGAAAGGACACAGGATTCTTATATATTGCATCATCATACTTTCAAAGATGAATCCTTTCTTTTCTATTTGAATTTGGACATCTCTACTTTCTCTGTTAAAAAGATGATAATTCAAATCCAGACAGAGCCATGTAAGTCTGTGCATGTGCTTTGGAACAGGTGGAGATGGAGGATTTTGATGCAAATATTGAAGACCAGAAAGAAGAAGCAAAGAAGGACACAGCAGAGGAAGAAGAAAGTGAACTGGTAGGAGACACATCAGCCATCCCTAACAAATTGTTCATTAATGTGTCTGAGAGAGAATCTCAGACTTACAAATGCCAACCCATTGCCGTTCTTAGCAGTGCAGTCTTAACACACATGTTTCTATCAGTTTTTTACTTAAACATTTCTAGGAGAACTTTACCGATAAATCCTATTATTTCTTCCTAATTTATTTCTAAGAATATGTGAGTATGTGCTACAAACAGTATTGTCTATAGAGCATGGTAACATGCCTCATAGAGATATTTTAAATTGCAGTACATAATAGTGCTATCTTCCAGATAATCTAAGAATGACACAAAGTGGAGGGATGGGAACAATGGGCAAAGATTAATTTAGCTTATTTCCTTTCACGTGTCTAAAGAACTCTCCTCAGCTGTCACGGTACATGATAACAGTTATGAAGACTGCTTTTTCTGCCACGGTTGACTGACTTTGTTTGTCAGGTGGTATTTCCAAGGTGAGGCATTAGGTCTCTTGGATAAATAAAGGTTACAGAATTGCCCTGAGGGCTGGCTTTTTTAGGTATGTATTTAAAAGGCTACGAAAGGCTTCCTGCTGTAACTTCTTGGTATGTGTTGGAGCTGCAACTGGTCTGTGCTTGATGAGCTGAATGTCTCAAATCTTGGTGCCCACAACCAAGCAGTTAAAGTTCAATAAACAGGAAGTAACCAAAAATGTCTGAGTTGAGCAAAGTGTTTTTCCTGGATGGAAATTTACTATTCGTCAGGAGTGGCAGGTCAGAAAGCAGTTGAAATCAGAATTTTAAAAAGCTTAGGAAAAGTGGATTCTAATAAACATCTGTTTTTTTCAACATGACTGATTTATTCTCTTTACTAAATTATTCTTTGCCGCAGAATATGAGACTGCATAAAGTGTGGTTAGAACATTTCAAAGATGCATCCATGTTTACAAGAATATGGTTGCTAGTCCCATTTCAATGAGCTATAGTTAAAAGAGAAAGTTTTCTTTAGCTTTTGAGACATCTGTGCATAAATCTGTGTGTGTATGTGTGTCTTTATGGGTTCTGGGGAGTGTCCTAATGTACAGCACTTATAACAATAGGCCTTTTCTTTGAGACAAAGAGAAAGCAAAAAGTAATCTGCATATAAGAATGTGTTCTGTTCAGATGCACAAGATATGAAAAAGAGCATTATCTACTCTGGGTAATCTCTTGAATTCAGTCAGATGGCTAATCTCAGAGAATTATGTCAGACAGAAAGTGGAACACGACACTGTATTTGGTATCTCTTGCCCTTTTGAGAGCATTTGATGAGGGTTATGCAATTCATTTTGCTGCATTTAATCCTGTAAGAAAAGGGAGGTCTGAAGCTCCTGCCATCTGGCAGATATCTTTGAAATATCCAACTGTCTTGTACCAAAGGATAAAGTCTGAATCTTTGCTTATCCTATTTGAGGACCAGGATATTGTATAGATTCAGCACACAATAGGCCATTTCACACCATCAAAGTAACTCTTCTTGCTATTATCAACTCCCATAGGATTGTTTGTAGCATTCAGACAATTCCTGCTTTTCTGTGCTTGATGGTATGAATTATTGATACATTTAACTTAGTGTTCTCACCAGTGTATCCCACATCACTTTGTTTAAGGCTTTTAGCTGTGGTGTAAACTCTCTGAGCAAGCTTCAAAGTGCAACTTGGTTTAAATGTATAAACATATGTATATATATTAAGTTTATTTATTTGTTACAAGGAAACATTGCAGCACAAACTGTTTTGGTTTGCATTAATTACAGATTTGATTAAAACCAAGAAAATCCAGAGATCTGATAACCTCAAGTCACTGATATATGTTTGATAGAAAAAGGTCATTCAAGGATTTTTAAAGAGCAGTGCTGAATATAATCAAATGCAGTGTGGCTCTCTGGAATTTACTGGAATACACGAATTTAGTAACACATAGTATTAACAAATACACATATATTTTTACCACAGTGGAGCAACCTATAAATAAAGCAGGAAAGAAGTTAGTGTAATGAAACTGGTTTGTGGATTGTTTGTTTTCTTCTTGAAATCTTCTAGAGTAGTTCTTTTCCCTCTCTATTAAAAAACATTCTAAAAAATAATTAAATTCTCTCGGAGGGCTTCCATTCACTACCTTGAGCTTTTTTATGTGGTTGCAGAGGAACATAAGTACTTTTATATCAAAACTGAACAGCTAAAATGAGGGTTGCTTAGTAACAATTTACTTGTCAAAGAATTTAAAAAGAAAATACAACAAGAGGCTAACTTAAATAAATAAATATCTTTTTGCCAAATTTATTTTCATTATGCTCATTTACAAAGAATAAACTGGCTAAAGATCATTACACATGGTGACATTATTTGTAGGGCAAAGTTGTTTTATAAGAATCATTGCACTAAGACTACCATTTTAAAATGAAGAGTAATACTTAAATCCTAGTGACTCAGCAGATTCTCTCATTTAAACAAAAAAATTGTTTAATTGTGGATTAACCACTCATACATTAATTTAGTATGTCCCTTCAAAAGGAGTAAGTGAAGCTTATGTGTACTAAATCTGGGAATGTGTTCATAAAAACTTACGGTAACTTTTTCATTTGTGTTTGTAAAGCTTTGAATATTCTTTATGCCTGAAAGTTGTGTGACTTTGCCACCTGGAATAATACAATACAGTAACTGCACACTTTTGTGTGCTTTTGCTGTCTGTCAGACTCATTCTGGAGTTCTGTGTTTGCAGAGGGCAGCACTCATGTAATGATTTGCAAGGGCTACTGAAATCACTGAATGGCAAGTGGATGCAGAAGTTCTGAAATACCAAGTAATTGGTCTCCATCTGATAATGGGAATTGTACCTTACAAAAAGAAATACCTTGAACTCCCGTTGTAATGCTGTTTCCAGTTCAAAAGTGATATGCATGTGTGTCTCTCTCTAATCCTCCGAGCTTCTTTCTGTGTATGATTTAGGGTTACATTCCGAAAAGCAAATGGGAGATGGACACTTCTGAGGCAAAGCTAGGTGGGTATTTATTTTTTCCTGTTTCTTATAGTTGGTATCTAATGATGTTTGCAAGACTTGAATTTTTGTTTTTACTGTGCCTCCTTGCAAAGACAAATAAATGCGTTGATTTCATACATGTGTCTGAAACTGCAAAAGCGTCTGTACAGAACAGGAATTCATCTTCTGCCAAAGGCAGGAGACTTTACTACTCTCTAATCATCACTGTTTTATATATTCATTGATTGTTGTTCCATCTGGTCAAGGAAAGTATTTTGTCTTCAAATTTGAAAAAAACAGTATTTATATTCTTCATCTTTCTGTGTTTATTATTTTTATATAAGCAAAGATCAACTCACATCGCACTGTACTTTTTCATATTGCATACCTTTTTTCCTAAGTGTCATCAGTAACTTCTTGCATTCTTGGAGACATGCCTCATAGCTGAACTGTATTGAAGATGCTTCTCAGTTTTCAAAATTGATGTCTGTGAGGACAAAGTAGTGGCATGCTTTGTAGTTGGTTCTGAATTATTAGGTGTCAGTACATCTTTTCAGCATCTTAGGCATTGAAAAGTTTAAAGTTCATTATGCTTTGCAGTTCCAGGAGAGCAATAGAATTCTTCTTAGTAGTAAAATGGACTTTCCAGGAGCAAAAGGGCACAATTTTTGCTGTACTTTTTTGTTCTCATAGTGCTGATATTAGGATTCTGTCAAAGTCAAAAGCAACTTTCAGGCAGAAATGCATGCACCACAGCTATGGTGAAAGGATTATTCATGGAAAGGGATTTCTGGTCATTATGATCAGTTTTGTTATGGGTTTTTTTTTACTGAACAGTATAGGTTCTAAATGAAGGTTTTATCTAGGCAGTCTGCTCAGAACTGCTGTTTTCGTGTCATGTCCCTGAGAAGTAACAAATAGCTAATGGGACACATACTTCTTAATATTTTGTGGTTTGCTTCTTCATGTGTGGTACAGCCCTGTGCATCATAACTTTCCAATAACCAAAATCACAACTGCACTATAGAAATACAGTTAGGAGGTCTGGTTTGCATAAAGCAGCCTTTCACCTTTTCCTCTTAAGGGCTTAGCTACACCATCTCTTCTCCTGCTGTGCTCTCTTTTAAGTCATAGAAATAGTTGTAGATTATATTGATGATGTGGTACCTGCAGTACAAGCAGAGGCACCTTGTACTCTATGGTTTTGGCATACCAAGCAGCTAGGCAGCTAGACAATTAAGCTAGGATTGGTCTGCATTTTTGTTATAAGCAGTGATTTGTTTAATAATGTACAATTGTTTCTGAAATTCATGCTAAGAACTGTGTTACGTTTCCTTCCGTAATGAAAACTCCATCACGTACAAAACATGATTTTTATATAGTTTCCACTTAAATGTAAAATGGGGAGCAAGCAGCAGAATCACTTTTATACTGAAGTAAGTTACTTGCAAGGCTGTTGAAATAATCCTTTAACAGACAAACTTCATTAACAAACTGGATGTTAGCATACTCCAAGACAGATCCAGGTGCTGAGAAGGGCTTTCTATTAAATCCACATTTACAATTTTACTTTTATAACTACACTCTAGATTCAGTTTCATTTATATGTAAGTCTGTAGATTAAAAATAAATTCTGACAGAACTTAGGTTTTAAAAAAGCTAGGCATTCCTATGTAAAAAATGCAGTTTCTTTGGAAAATTACTCTGCCAGGACAATCAACATTTAGCTTAAGGTGGACATTAGAAGCACTTGCAGTCTGTGAGTAAGAGTTACTATATTTAGTTCACAATAAGGCTTCATTGTAGATGATCAATTATAATTGTTTCTGGAAAGGCATGTGAGCTGTGGTGTGCATTAGTTACTCCAAGGCTGAGTTATTTCCTGGGAGCTGGCCTGCCCATTAGGTTTATTGCTTTAGTCCCAGAGGGTGAATGTTTGCAGAATGACGTAAGTGCAGACTCCAAAAATGATGCTCTGAGTCTTGTTTTGCTTTTTTTTTCTTTTTGAGTAGATGTTTTTTACAGGAGAGCACAGTAAGATCTTGCTGATTGTAATAAACCTCAGAAGATGTCTGAAAAGTTTGAGTTCTAACTGCAAATACTGACTTGTGACAATTGCCAAACATATGACCCAGAGCTCTTGCTTTAGCACAGACTTACTTTATTCTTATATTCCTCTTGGGTACGTGTGTGATTTATCCTTTCCTATATGCTGTGCACAGCCACAGTTTCATTCTGAAAGTCTATTCATGGGTCTTCTCAGTGCATAATGCACAAAGGTTCTTTTATTGGAATTTAAAGTAGTGTTTAGTGCAATGCTCTGTTTCAAGATGTGGCTTAGTGGCAAGTTCTACAAACTTTCAGGAATGGAGAAATGGGCTCTGGTGTACCTGAAACTTTGATACCGTTGTAAAATTTGCTCTAGAATACAAATGGGATCCTACATAAAACTTTGTGACTTTTGTGTAAGAAGGGCAAAATTTAACTGATTGATTTATTTAGGTTTTGAAGGAGCTAATTAAATTAGTTGCTTTCAGATGTTACTTTAAAAATTTTACAGGTGAGTTTTTAAGTTTTATGGGTTTTCAGAAATGCTTCTGCTTTGTTGTTTTTAAACATAAAATGATAAAATGATGTTCAGTAGTTTAACACTAAGTAATCATCAGCCATAAATAATCACAAGCACCAGTGTTACAAAATGACACCTTGTCTCATTTTCAGAAAAGAACATTCTGAAATAATCCTTTGTGGCAGGTTTTTGACATTTGTGTAGTGTCTGCTGCATGACACATGTACCTTGAACTGCTATAGTATGGATGGAAGCAGACCTCTCTGGAAAAGCAATCCAGCTTCAAACATGGAAGGACATAACTTTTTAAAATAAATCCCGTGTAGCAATAACAAAAAGGGACAGAGAGGAACTGCATATTCAGAACAGCTTCTGAGCTCTCTACTGACATTTCGGCATTACACATTTCTTGGCAATGTTTTCAGTTGTTTGGTGTGCCGCAGGGAGTGGGAGACTTAACTTACTTTCACATTGGTAATGAGGTGAACTTGCATCATAGCTTCCTTCCAACAGGAATATGTCTGTCTACAGGTACTTGCCAACAGTGAACTCCTACATTTTCACTTTTTCATGTTCCTAAATGCTCCTCAATGAGTTTGTTGATCTCCTCTTCAATGTTATTTTTTTCTGGAAAATGCTTAATGCCACAAATGATCTACACTGATTGAATGTAGCTGGAGTAATAGAGGAATATTGTATAAATAAATTTTGTCTTCTAGAGGGAGTGTCACCTTTCTATGGAGATTGAGCATCAAATTTGGCAGATTTAACTTACAGCAAAAGAAGAACCTTAACTAGATAATTTAATAGATACAAATATTCCGAACATTTTTCTTAAATGTTGTCTATTTTAAGAAGCAGGGGGATTATAATGTTTTTTTAGAAGAAGTTCTGTATCTGTTCCAGGGAAATGGGGCAGAAGTGGAGTCTTTAAAAGGTTTTGAAGTGTGTGAGGGAGAAATAACTTAATTAGTTTATGGACTTTAAATTATACTAGCATATCTACAGTACCATTGCCTCACATTATCTCCATTGTTACTCTCTTCTCTCCCATATTAAGTAAAAAACTCATCTCTGAACTGAGTTTCTTTAAGTACATACCTTTGAATATCATCTTCTGCTATCCAGAAAATAATGCTGCCTTGTATCTGGTCTATTTCTGAGGCCTTTTGTGGGTGAATTTAATTACAACAGTGACTTCTGAAACAGTATTTCTGACATCACTGGTAATGGTTTAATGAATGTAATTGCCAAGCTTAGTGTTCCTTCTACACATACTTGAATTGTTGGCTTATAAACTGGTAGTTTACATCGGCAGAAGTAACAGAATTTCCTTTGACTTGTAGAGCCGGTTTTCCTTTTCATGCTTTGTTATTCATAATCTTACAATGAATGTTTCATCTCCTTTCCAAAGACAGTTTGCCACATAATGTCAAAAAGGTGTTGTTTTCTTTACTGAGAATAAGTGTCTAAAGTGGGACAAAATTTTAGAACCTAGGAATGGAATTGTTTCTCCTCATGTATCGGTTCAATAAGAAAAAGAAGAAAAAGAGGACTGTTGGACAAATGTACTGTTCAAATATTCATGACTGACCTCTTGCACCATGAAAGAAAAGATTCTGAGATATTTTTCTCCCAGTCCTGGAAGACTTTTTAAGTGGTTTGCCTTATGGGGAGAGAAAAAGAAAGGGGAGAATCAGGCTTTCCAAGGAGTTTTGTTTAGCAGAAACAGTATCTCAAAAACTTGTCTTTGATGCATTAAGTTATATAATTGCCACTTGTTCCCTGAAACTGCATGTATGCCATGTATGATACAGTATTGATCCCCAAATTTGGGAAAAAATGCTACAGCTTTAGTATTGTGTTCAAATACAGAAAGATGGATCTGTGGTTTCCAGCTATTGTTGGCTATATTGTACCTGTAAGGGCAGACTCCATGTAGATCCGGAAGAGCAAACTTTTTCTCCCTCATATAGAAAACAACACTGTGTTTTATTGCCACACAGTTAACATGAAAGATCAATAAAACTTGAAAACTGTGTTGAGTCTTCTTTAGTTTATTTCAACTCTCATCATTACACCTGTCAAGACAAGCTGGATGTACAAATTCTGCTGCTCATTCTTTTGAAAACTTTTCCACTCTTGTCTTGTTTGTGTGAATAATAGAAAAAATAATCTCCCTTAACGCTGAGGCTCTGTGTTTGTTCTCAGACAAGCTGGACGGATTGCGGACTGGCGCTAAAAGAAAACGTGACTGGGAAGCAATTGCCAGCAGAATAGAAGATTATCTGCAGCTTCCAGACGACTATGATACACGTGCTTCTGAACCTGGAAAGAAAAGGGTAATAAATTTTCAAATGACTTACTGTCTGTATATAACCCTTTAATGGTCTCTGTGAAAGAGAGCTTATATCAAGTCATTCATTGTCTGTGAATACGGGAATTTCATTGACTCCCTTTTCATTTTGCTGTTCCATTAGATTCTGTAAGAAATTATGCCTGCAAGTAGGGTCTTCCAGAGGTAAACATATTAGTTATAACAGAGCTAGGAATTGTAGATAATACAGATTAACTATGGGTGACACGATCTGAATACCAACTGCTGCATGTTTAAATTCTGTTGTGGAAAAAGGGGAAAAATCATAGAGGAAGATGACATATGTAATAGAAGGAGGTAATGTTTTTTTTTTCTTCTCTGTAAAATAGAAAGGCCAGCTTTTGCCACTAGCAGTAATTTGAATTAGCTATCAGTGTTTGGGTATTGATTTGCTCTGTAATGTCAAATAGAAAACTGGTAGTACTGGATAGTGTGTCTGAGAGAAATGGAGGTACTTAAGGCACTAGCAGAGGAGATGATGGTGGAAGAAAACTGACATTGCTTATCAGCAGGAATGTCAGGGGAAATCCAGGTAGATTGAGGATAGGGAGGTGCTGGCAGATAATAGATAAGGCTAGGTTTCCCAGTAACACAGAGGCCTGAGTGAGACTAATCAGTGTGCAGAGAAGAGCTTTTCACTTACTGTTTTTCATTGTCCTGCAATGGTGTGTTTCAGCTGAGTTTCTGGCCTGGAACGTTTCTCCATTGCACCTCTCCCTCCCTCCTTCCTGTTGCTCCCTCCCATTGGTGTCTTGTTTTGGGAGTGTCACTGTGTATATTAAACAGGATAAATTAAAGGGATCTTCATTGCCACGAAGAGGTGCAGTGCAGATAAGGAGATGTAAAGATGGGGAAATAACATACGTATGAAAAAGTTACTTAGTGTAAAGAAATAGTGGAGAATTTTTAATAGAAATATATCATGAAAGCTAGAGAAGAAAACTCCTTCATTCATTTATTCATTGCTGACTTGCTCTTTAACACTGTCTATCTGTAGTTTCATAGTCATCTTCTAGATGTTTCCATTGTGCAATTGAAAGACAGATTTTCCATAAAAATAAAACAGTAAATGAGTCTTGGATAATTCTTCCTGCAGAAAGTGTTGCTTTGAACAGAGAAATAATTGTAGTAGTTACACTTCAACTCTCAGAGCTATAGCACTGAAATGGAAAAAGCTTATCATGTATACCTTTTGTCTGCTCTGTAGAACACCTGGTCCATTCAGTTAAAAATAATTTCCCTCTTTACCTATCAGAAAAAAATAATACTTACCTGTTCTAAGGGAAATGAGTAGAAATTAGCATTCTTATATTCTTACTTGCAGTGGAAAGCCTAGATTCATATCAGGATTTCTTGGAAGATTATTGTACTGATAGGATGTTCTCCATAGGTGCGATGGGCAGATCTAGAAGAAAAAAAAGATGCTGACAGGAAAAGGGCCATCGGTTTTGTTGTTGGACAGACTGACTGGGAGAAGATAACAGATGAAAGTGGTCACCTTGCCGAGAGAGCCCTCAACCGCACCAAGTATATCTGAAAAAGTGGTTAAGTGGATTTTTGTGCCTTTGAGGTAAATATTCATCTTCCATTGTTCCATCAATGTTTGTAGCCTTGCTGTTTTTCAAGAGTTGAGGCTGAGTTCTCCCAGACAAGGTTGTTTGATTTGGAACTTTGTATAGTAGGTGTCAGCTGTGCCTATGTTGACATGCACCCTTCTGTACAGCACCTGACAATAAAGGGGGAAGGATTATCAGCCCTCAGATCTCCCAGCCTTATTACAGGAAGCTTGTGGTTCCATTTAGAGTAGTTTAGCTGTGTGCCTATTAGTCCTGTTGAGTTCAGATGTTGCTTATTATATCTTAATTCTAACCATGTTAATTACTGGTTTACGTGACATAACAAACTTTTCCTTTCTTTACAGGCCATTTGCTCTGCAGAGAAGTGAACCAAGGTGTCATGAGCATCTTGCATGGGTCATGTCACTCCCACCTTCACAGTTTTTCTTTGTTACTTTAATTTCAGCAATTTTCTTGAGATACTGGCAGATAACTGGCAGTGCCCTCAAAAAACTCAATGAATCCCACTACTCCTAAGTGAGAGAGAAAGTTTACTTTTTAATATTTTTGGAGGGGAGGGAGGGGGAGGGTCAGTAGTTTTAGCTGCTCTTTGTGGGATAAAGTGGAAGGATTAGACAGATGTTACCTCCACTGTACCGTCACAGAATGTTTATCACCTTTGCTCTGTGGATGTTCTCGTTTTATACTGTATGTACCTTGTAGCTTATTGTATTAGGAAGCAGAACAATAAATTTCACTATAAACTCAGTGTTCTTGGTGGACCATGTAGTATGGTTTTTGTTTGACATTTTGAATGTGGTCTGTGTTCACATGTTAGTGCTCAGAACCATCCTTACCTGGAAGACATGCTGTGCTCATATTCTGGAATGTGTCCTGTCTTCTAGGTTTTTCACCTGCTCTTTTCTCATAGACAGATCCATTAAGACCCCAGGTCTTGCTGGCCTTTAGGAGTTCATGTTCCTGGAAAGCAGGAATATCATTATGTTTGGATCCTAGTTTCTCAGTTATGTCAAATTTTCGTTACTACGTGAGTATGAATTCTATTGGGTGGTTATGTAATGTTCAAGGTAGCAGTGTATGAAAAACTTGTCTTTAATGCTCAATATGAAAACAGGTACTATAGAGTTTTCTGAGGGGCAGCCTAGAAAATTTGTTTTGGTCTTCTTGTGTCTTTTATTCAACACTAATCCCTATCAGTGTATTTAATTCCATTCATAAGTCTACTGAGTCATAGAGATACATCATTAAAAGAAGTGACAAAGACCAGAAGTTACACCCTTCTTTACCTTTGATAAATGTGTTAAGCTTGATGAAAAAAAAGATGAGTGAATAACAGTCCACACTACTAAAAGTAGTACAGATTCTTCATAGATGCTGGGATATCACTTCTGCAGAGCATTGAGTTTGCTGGTGAAAACTTTCTTATGTCCTCGCAGATTTCAAAGCAAATGCTTTGCATTTACGATGTCATACCAGGAAGGATGTTTAAATTTGAAAATAATTGCTGTTTAAATATTGAATTGAATTTTCCTCCTGATCTTTCTGAGGAAAGAAAATGAAGTCCTGAATTTTCCTTCTCTGTTGTGTGATTACATTGTGCTTTGCGTCTAGGTTGGTAAATCAGCTTGTTCTGGTGTGATGGTGTAGATTAGGTTGTTAAAGGAGACCATGGTTGTAATAGATGGGTTTGTTTGCCATTCTAATGTTTTGGTATTTGGCTGCTTCTCAGCCTTCTCTGTGGTGCATGATTAAAAGTTCTTCAGTAAACAAGGGGAATAGCTGAACTTGTATTATGCCCCAAATATGTTTAATACAAGAAAATTGAGCTCCCTGAATGCAGCATTTTTAAAATAGAAGGTATTAAATGTACATCTTCTGCATACACTTACTTTACATAGCATATATGCTTCTAAAATGTTGCTCAGTAAGTACTCTTTGAATTGTGACAGAGAATTGTTGGCAAAAGAAAACTAATAGCTAACAAGAAATGAGTACTGTGTATTGCTGTGGAAATTAAGTGAGCTTCACTTTGGAGAAGTTACTCTCAGGTATGCGTAAAATGGATTTCAGTCTATACTCAGTTTTTCATAACAAAACTGAAGTTCTCGTGGTACACCATGAGTTGATGCTGCTTCTTGACTCTTAAGAACTGATAGTGATTTTGCCTGTATTTTTGGTAATAGAACTGTACCAGATCCTTTTCTAACATTTTTCTTTTCAGACTAAAGAGTACTTCTGGAGCATTCAAATGGATAGTGTCTGTCAGAAGTTATAATGTTTACTGGTTTTACAAATTTTGATATTATTTTAGCAGATAATACTGAGAGGTTATGTCATGCTGTTTATTCTGTGGTGCATGTAGAACTAAAGAAAAATGAGCAGAGAATATTCATAAAATTATATTTTACTCTGATAAGAACTGGCAGAAAATATATCAGTCTTGAAGTTTAAAGCAAAATTCACTTATGAAAACATACCATTGTAGACTGTTGTCAGACTGTTTGACCAGAAAAGGCTGAAAGGCTTGGGTTTTGTTGTTTTCCTGAAGTTCAGTTGTTTTCCCCTTCTTTAGTACAGAAATATCAATGTATCCATAATCTTTGCCATTTGTTTCAGTTGGTTTGAATGCTTAGCAGACCACTCTTCAACTTCTTGATGGGAAGCGGCTCTGAAAGAAAATAACTTACGCCAGAACTACAACCTATAGCAGATTCTACATACTCCAGACATTCAGTGACTGAAGAAAACAAGCAAAAAGGAAAAATTCATCATTGATGCTGGCAGAACTGAGAATAGCTAGCTAGTCCCTTGCTTGGCTCCTAACCAGAGTTTGGTAATTAGTGATTTTGCTTTTGTCTGGGAAGTCCTTAAGTACAGAATACATTGTCCTGATCCTGATTTAGCTCTTACTCTTATGCTTGCTGAAATTGTCAGTAGAACCTTTCACAGCACTGAGCAGAATGAATTTCAGCTTTCATTGGTATTTAAATAGGAAGATATGCATCTAGCACTCTCATGTAATGATCACTCTTTGACCATGCATGCAATTGTGCTAACTCTAAGTTGAGCTGTTTCTTTGCACCATATTGAAAAATTCAGCTCTGAAAAAAATATCAGTTACTGCAGAATGGAGTTGCTACCTTCTCAGCAAAGTTGACTGTTAAAACAGTATTTTCTGTGAATTATAGTTTCTTATGACACTTCAGTTTTTTTCAAGTCAGTTTGCTTTTTTAATATTGAAGCTACCTGTCTCATGAGATAAATACATGTGGTTTCTTGCAAGGGAATGTGCAGCATGCTGTGCTATGTGAATAGAGCACAGTTGTCATCCTCAGTCTCCTTGTGTTTTACTGTAGGATTGCTCTTTAAGTGTTATGGTCTGATTATGGTAAGAAAGAGTGAAATAATAGCTGAGAGTATTAGGTCAGTTCTAGAAATTTGTTTTCCTTGAATTTTTACATCAACAAAGATAAATAACTTACTTTGCATTATTAGTTCTGAGTCTTTTGAAGGGAAGAATTGGTATTGGTACAAGTTAGTTTTACTTTTCACGCATCAAGTTGGGTTTGGCATTTTTTAGACTTTGCTTCGGTCATCTTTGTTAACCCTGTCCATTAGTTTTTCCTTGCCTGTCTGTCGATACATAGAATACATCACTGCTCTTTTCTCTTTGTAAAGCGTTGTTTTAAATATTTTCAGAAGCCTTTTAATCTCTGAGCAACTGTTCAGGTAACCATGGGGATACTGAGAAGATTTCAGTAGAATCTTTTCTGAAAGGATTGAATCGGAAAAATAGAGTTGTGACATTACACTGAAACAAATATGAACCTATCCCCAAAAAGCCCATGTCTAATGCAGTTGAATAGTTAAAAATTATCATAGAACTGTAAGTTGCAAGTCACATTAGAAAGTGTGATTCCTACAGAAGTATAGTCTGTTGGTAGTGTGCTTTCAAATGAGAGAGAAGAGCATGACCTCACCAGCCAAAATCAGTTTTTCCCAATTTGAGATTTCAACATTATCAGGACACTTTGAGAATCCTTTTGAAAGGAATAAAGTAATTCTGCTTGTGGGACACCTTGCTGTCATCTAAACAAATTTATTATTACCAGAAGAAAAAATACTTTGTTCATTTATATAAATGCAGCTGTCATGGTGAATCATTTTTTGAGCCCTTAGGAGACAATTTCCCTTAGCAGACTGTGCCATCTCATGTTGTTGCCACCCATGCAATACTGGACAGACCTTGGGATTTAAAGAAATGTGGTTGAGCTGGGTTTGGAAGCAAAAGATGCTTTTTTGCTATGAAGTTCATGCTGTCTCTGGCAGCATGCAGCTAGGTAGCTGTGAGCTGACTGAACTGAAGGCCTGGAACTCTCCTGGGAGTATTGTAATTCAGCATTCTAGGACTGGAAAGGAGAAACAGTACTGTGTTTTCTTTGCTTATGGAATGTTCGCATGGCATGCATCCTCAGGAAGCTAAATAATGATAGATACATGGTTTCTTTCTGTTGTGTCTCTCTTCACTGTTTAATGTTTCCCAGATAACTTCTGGAAAATGAGTTCTAAATTCTGATCTTGGGTCCACTGACAATTTGTGATCAAACTGCAGCAGGACAACTTGCATACTATGAGGTAAAATATTTGAGGAGCAGAGGTAGCATCTCACTTGAGATCTGTGCACTTGGAGCATCAGCTATTCTTAAACTGTGGTTATACTTAGTTTTCTTGTCATAAGAGAAATGAGAAGACAAAGAACAAAAGTTTCATAGAATTTAAAATATGAATGGCACATTTCTGGTTTTGAGCCTCTAGGACAATCATCTTTATTCTCTTGTAAAACTTAAATCAAAATTGTTTTCCCTTCTGTTCATCTATTTCTACATGCGTGAGTCAGAATTCCTTCAACAAACTAAAGGACTGTTTACTCCAAGGATCACTTACTATTTCTGCTCAGGATTAATCACTTACTTCTTCATGATGAAACTGCTTTGTTTTATTCTTACCTCTGGAGTGTTCCAGCAACTGCAACTTTGCTTCCAAATTTGCATGGTACTGAATCTGCAGCCTGGAGCCATAAGTCTTCCTCTTGAATGTAGATTGGAAAATTAGTAACAGCAATATTCCATTCAGGTAAATTATCACCTTCTAGCTGATTAATACTCTTTGGAAGAAGAATGTATTTTTATTCACAATTTTGCTTAAATCAGGTAAGCTGAAGTACTGTTACCAAACAAAGGCACAGCAAGTTAGTGCAAATGGAGAGGCAAAAGTGTTTTGAAGTTGCTTATATTTTCTATCTGTGACAGGTTTCTTGACAGGAGGCTCTAGTCTCTTTGAATTGTAGGATTTAGTGTTTCAATATGCAGAACCAACAATGTAAAGTTATCTTGGTGGAAATGTCACAGTTTCATTTTTTTCCTAAGATTTTTCTACCTCATGGAACTCTCGGATTGAATCTTTTTGCGGGGGGAGACCTCACCCTACAGCTTGTCTCTGGAGTGTCTGTCAGTCAAGTGTTTCTCTATACTGTTTCCCTTGTATGTGTGTACAGGGACAACTTTTGTTTCCATAACTGGTCAATGTACACCTGTCTGAATGGATGTTCAGCTTTACACCAGAAATTCCTCATGCTGTGCTTTAGGAGGGCATCTGAACTGTCTGCTGGGACCAGTATATTCCGATATGAAGTTACTGTTTGAACAGTTAGTACTCTTAAAAATACCTTAAGACTGCAAGGTTGTCATCATCAATTCCTATGATGTTGCTGTCTTTGGAGAGAAATTATAACTGCAGTGGTCCTTGGGGGGAAAAACCAAACCCAAAGAAGGAAAAGGAGTTCAGGTACTTTTACTCTAATTATCAGAGCTGGAATCTGTCTTTTGTGGGTAGAATATGCTAGCAGCTCCACTGTCTGAGATGTCTGATTTAGCTACTGGCTGCATATATGTTTATGGAGGAGAATCTTAAATTAATCCCTGCCATTTTTTGCCTGCAGGTCAAGAGTATAGTTGAGCAAGCAGATTTAGAAAGCAGTTTGTCTTGAAGAAGCTTTTGAAGGGTTACATGTAAACTGAAACATTACCAAAGGAAAGAAAAAAGTCTTTGAAATCTCAAATGTTTTGTGTTTAAATCTTGTAGGATGTTAATTCTCTGGGATTAGCACAGGAAGGGAACAGCAGCAAGTCTTCCTGGTGTCAGAGTGTAAATAGCCTTTAGTTGCAGAAACTCTAAATATTTCTATTGAAAATTACTTCAGTGGTGACATACGCTGTATGTGGATGACAAGATATCTTAAACAGCAGTTCAGGGGGGTTTTTTTTCTGTTTTGGTAAGTTTGATGCAAACAGTAATAAAAGTTTTATTTGACTGCTGTTACTGACCCATGTACAAGCCTTTGCATATATGTGGCTTCTGGGTTTTTGAGAAGACCATATCACTGTTTGAAGGCCAGAAAACCTTGCGGACAAACACCCACATTGTTTCAATGTATTCATCTGTGGATGCTCAAAACTCTTGTGCAAGTGATGAGTCTTTACTGCTATGCTTTGAGGTCCAATTTCTCTTGAACTACAGTTGCCAAATTCTTTTCTTTGAAGGCATGGACAGATCAACTAGTCTGCTACCAGATCTCCTCAATTAGTCACCCAGAAATCAAGATTTTTCAGGTAATGACAATCAGATGGCACTAAAGCATTGAATTCACGCTAGGATTAAATCGGGGGAAAAAAACGTGCTATGATTACAGAATAATTTGATTTTTCTGGTTTCATATTGCCTGATACAGTTATAAACCAGTAACTTCTACTTCATGAAGGAAAGGCTACTTTTCTATGAAAAAAATCTGTGATTAACATTGTGCTGTTGTGTAGAGTACCACTTGCAGGTCACAGTCAAGATTTTGTGCTTCATTGAACCTGCTGAGTATAAACATGGAACAAGATCTTTCTTCTGCTATAATGAGAGGCATCAAAATTGAACGGTCATATATATCCTCCCAAAAACCTTTACAACGCTTGACTTCTAATGGAAAATGGATTTTAACTTTCTAATACCTGCTTTTGGAGTGTTAAGTCTTTAAATATATTGTAGTAAGAAATAATGCTTCTGAAGCCTTCCAGAGTTTCTTATTGCATCTTTTGTGGGTTTTGGTTTTGGATTTTTTCTTCTTGGAGTGAAGAAAAATAAGGATAAATATCCAAGCCAAAACACCAAGGATACTTCCTGTAGAAGAACCTGCTAACTTTTCTCTGCTAAGAAGACTCAGAACTTCAGCTGGATCCAGAGGCACTATGGAGATCTGTCACAATGAAACAAACTTGCAGCTGTAATGCCAACTGTTCAAATAGGTTTGCACAATGTGCAGTAGGAGTGCTGCACAGTTTGCAGGAGGTACTTTACAGTTAGGGAGGAACATGAATATTCTTTTCCAAGAAGTTGGCAATCTACATGTTGCTTTATTAAGAATATAACTATTTGTATCTCCTTTCCCTTCTCTCAATAGCCAGAGAAAGTCTGCTGTAAGGCTGAAGGGATGGCCCTGAAGTTAACTTGGGCATAAACAGCCTCATTTTTACTCCAAAGCCTACCTGTTGTAGTCTTGTTGCAGTGTATGTGGTTCAAACGTAGCTCGAGAAGAATATTCAGGTGCCTTCAAAGCAATTATTTTACTGATGTTTTGGATCTCCCTCTTCCATTTTGCATTTGGGGGAATGCTCCATCTTCATGCAGGATGGTGGATGAGTGTCTTGTCTTTTGGAATTGTGTGGGATGTGGATTCATGTGCTGAGGCATGCCCAATGTCTGAAGGCATGCTATGGTCAAGTGTGTTGATAACATAACTGTGTGCTCAATCTTATCAGTGCAGAAATCAGTTGTCAAGGCAGGACACTTTCCCAGTGCTACAGCTGTGTTTAAATATCTTATGGGGAAAAACAGACATTGGAGAGGCATCTGCACAAAACCTTCCTCCCTGTTAATTCTCACTGCTCCTTTATTTGTAACAGGATTTAGAGCTATCACACGTAGATCTTTCCCAGGTAGGACCGGATTTTTTGGAACACCATACTTACCTTGTCATTACTTCATTACTTCTACAGATTTCTGTTTTACACCTGCATGATATCTGAGTTACATCAACAGTGCTTGCATTTCTCTATCCTCTCTATCTCCTGCCCCAGATTTCTTAATTATTATTTCCTAAGTCTGAGAATCCTTTCTCGGCTTTAGCTTTCAGTGTGCTAGAGATGTTATGTTTTGGGTGTGGACTTGCAATTCTATGGTTTATTTCCCATGGAAAAAGTCACTGAATGGTTGCAAACATATTCAATAATAGACTGAATTCCATTCAATAATAGACTGAATAAAGACAATTGAACTGGCACAAAAGGCTTATAGGAGCCACTTTGACAAATGGTGAGCTGTTTTGTGAACTGCTGAAGCAGCAAGATCTTTGGATCATGACTATGTCTCAGGGATGAGGCAAGGCACAGTAAACTTTTCTAAAAGGGCCTTCGGGGCACTACATATTGCGTTCAGGAGATGTCAGTGCAATGCTCCCAAAGAACACCTCCCACACTGGTTCCAGCATTGTTTACAATAAGAAGCTGCTCTGCAAAGGACTGCTACTGCCACTATTTGCCAGAGAACAGCCTCTGCAGAAAAAAGCAGTTGGATGGCCCTGAGGTGGATGGTTGGCTGTGGCTGACATAACAGGCCACACAGTAATATTAAGAGAGGTAAGATCTTGTATTGATAACTGTGGTTACTGACTGAGGCCTTCATATTCATTATTTGTCAAGTTAGAGTATTCCCACATAAGTGTTGGCCTGTGATTCATGACACAGCGAAGAGCTAAACTTGCTTTTCATTGGCAATAAATTTGGAGGCAAATCATCACCGATGGTGATGTGGTGTTTGGAGTGTATCAATACCACTAGATACCAGGGAATGGGATAGTCATTGGTGTTGCTGAGGGTGTAAAGGAAAGAAATTGCTTGTTTTTCTTCCTTGACATACCCAAAGCAGTTTTACAGAAACAGCCTTACAGGAGCTCAAGAGAAAGATGATTCTGTAGTTTTGTCTTAGCTACTCAAGAGTTCACCCAACAATTTGTTCTGCACCAAACAGATGCTCTGTGCCACTGCAATCTTCTCCAGTGTAGCTTGTCAAGAAACACCAATCCAAAGGTCATTCCTCCTAGCATGAGGTGGCCCTTTCTAAAAAATGACGTGCAGTCATCTTTATGAGTAAGCCCAGGACCTGCAAGGATTTTGTTTCCCTGGTCAGTATGACTATTCAAATGCAGAAAACATTGCCAGCAGCATCCTGGTTACACTGCAGTTTGGAAGATGCTTACACAAGTCATACAGTGTTAATGGACATGTCTCCAGTTGCGTGCTGACACATGGGTGAGTATAGTATTGTCACTTCTGTACATTTCAATAAATAATCAAAGCTACCTGAAGTTTTTGAAGCAGAACATTTCTCACCAGATCACACACTCCCTCCTTGGCCTGGTCTGCTACAACTTCATTACAGCCAAGAACTGTGCCATGAATGCTGTCGCTGACGAGACCATTACCGAGATGATGTTTCTTACTTCCTGATGCTTCCAGTTCCTGTAAGAAT